TAAATCAAATGACGTACTAATTGCGGGTACCATATCGAGAGTAGTTTAAGAAAAAATATTAAAATTGTTCGATCACCTACTCGAATTTGCATTTGATATGCATATGAAAAGCATCGTTGGTGCACTTGTTTAAACTGACTAAGCTCAATAAGCAACTTCTGAGTCCTATCTTTGCCATTGACTCTATACATAACCCTCTCCATATCCAGTGTTTATAAAGAATTAATCTTCTTTATTCTCATATACAAACAGGTCGCTTTAGCTGGTGAAGGCATTAATTAAAGGCGATCACAATTAGACCCCCCCCCTTTAAGGCGGCAGAATTATGACGTAAAATTCAATCACCTAAACCACTAATTGTACTCATTCACTTTTGCTTGTCCGCATTAATCGATCACTTAATTGGTTTTATTGTCTATGGAAAAAGGGCAAGCAAAGAAAACTACTTGCATTGGAGGTGGGAGGGGGGATGGGCCGAAGAAATGGGCAGGTATCTCACATTTTCCTTTGAAGTTCCAATGCTCAAATTTTAGGTTTGGTTCCATAGTTACTTTTAACCGAATTTATCTCCTCAATGTTTTTGTAACTTATTAAGCGGTTGGCCATTTCGTGTGGATTAATTCGTTTTTTAAGATTGTTCAGGATATTGAAGAGTTATTATTACTAAACGCATCTATTCATAACATTAGGAAATATTTTTTGTTTGAATAGAACAGAATACTGGTTTACATCTACCAAATAGGAAGTGGTAAATGTGTTAGGCAAATGAAATTTAGGGCATTTTAATAACTAATCCAGAGTAAAATGCATCATTTATCATCTTAATCTAAATATCTTTAGTTAAGAAGACTTTTGCGTTAACCCGAGTCAGGGACCCATATGATTCTACTCTCACCCTCCCTAAAAACTGCTCAAGTTTTGTTCTACCTTCACGGCGATTAGCGTCTCATCAGTGCTCCCAATCCATACTACATCGTATTTCATAATACATTGGGGCTGGATGATAACTATTTTTGAGGTGTGCTGTGCTCAATCAGACCAGATCGTCACCTACCTTGCTTTATTTTAGCCACAGCAGCCTCGTAGTCTCCACTGCAATTCTCTAGTTGGTGCTGCAATTCTTTTCTCAGTGTTCAGGGAGCGACTTATCCTTTTCCATGATTCAAGTAGCTTTCAGTCATCGTTCAATCACGCTGAATAAAGTAACCTAGGAATATTCTGAAAACTTATTTAAAAACAATTCCAAGCTGAATGCAGTAGAACACTTTCATACCTTTGTATTGCTCACAATCATTTTCCCGCCAATTTTCGTTTGAAGGGCCTTCTGTTAACCGATTTAAGCTGCTTTCCCACAATTTAGGCATTGTTACATTTTGTTAAATTTTGAGTTTCATACGCTCCAGCACACGAGCAGAGTTTAATCCTACTTCTGGAATGCTTTCAGCCTTAGGATACTATTCTTAATAGCTGGATGGGCTAAAACCCCATCTCTCATCCTTCGAATAAGCTCGCTATTTACCGCATGACTCCAAAATGGAATCCCACAACAGTGCCAGAGAAAATATTATTTGATTACCGAATGTTTGAACATGGGGTATGTGATAGACTTACCTCCACGTGGTGCATCCTGGGCAACGTATACTCATACGGCATAAAAGTCTATTACCTGACAGTTGACTTCAAACTACCATGACCCCACTGTATGTCATATTCGACTATTTTCACAGTACTCATCCCACCTTTTTTCCCCCTTATCTACCTTCGTCTTTGATACACTCTTCTGTCCCCCCCCCCTCTTGAATTTTTTTACACTTTGATGTTCCTTCCACTCTGTGAAGACTGAAGTCAACTAAAGGGCTAATGATAACAATCAAAACGCCTGCCATTTGATATAATAATAATAATGTTTGAACATGGGGGGGGGCTTAACTGAACGGCTTAGTTGCTGCAAGAAAAAAAAACTACATCGAACACATTTATAAGAAAGATAAAATGGCATAAAAGGCTTAACAATTTAGAAATAAATGCTAAATAAAAAGCCTCAAGTCGTCTTCGTACTTAAAACATGCATTAAATCCTTTAATTTCCAGAGTTCTTCTTCCAAGAATTTGCTACGCGGTGTTTCTGCACTCATTTTGATTGTCTTCCAGGGATTTCGATCTTTCACTAGCGTTCCGGTTTCTGTTTCAGCTTCTTGAATAACCTTGGAAAAAGGAAAGAAGATGAAACGTAAATTTGATATCATAAAAACTATAAAACATAATCCTTTCAGAGAGGCATGCTGTAATTAATTAATTGGAGTAGGTGTTGGCTCTCAGACGACGACGCAATGTTACAATTACTCACCTGTCTGAGTTTCGACTCCGCATCTGCAAGTTTCCTTTTCAGCGAACGGATATCAGTTTGATACCCCTCAATTTCATGCTTTCTTCGGCGTTCAAGATCTTCATACCTCTTTGTGCATAGTTGACTCCTCTCCTTCAATTGTTTAATTTTGCTGTTACAAATATTTTTCGACTGGCTGCATTCCTCCATAATTTTCAACTTAGTCTCTTCGATTTGCAATACCTATAAAATACATGTTACTTATGTTAATTAAGTACAAAACCTGATTGCGATAGCGTTTTACGAGTTTATGTTGTTGGTCAAATTGGGCCTCGAGTTCCTCAATTGTTCTTCTTAGTTCCCATTCGCGTTTTTGAAAACCTTCCAATTTTTCATAATTTAGTTCGTCAGATAGCTCTGTTTTAAAAAGCCTTGGAAGCGGAGTCGAATTTAACTGAAAAGTAGTAGGTTTGTTTTGGAATAAATCCAACTTAGAATCTAGAACTCCTAGATTAATGCAACCAATTAATTCTTCTTTCTCAGCGATCCAGGCTTTTTCGGAAATTCGATGTTTGAGTCTCAAGTGGAGATATTCACTGACCATTTCTCGTAAAATTAACTGACTTCGCTTCAATCTATTGGGGTCATGTTAATCAGAGTAAGATTTAAGGCAACTAACTGGTCAAAAAGCTCAGCCTCTCGTGTTCGATACATTTCAGCCCTCTCCCCTTCATCTCGAATGCGTCTTTCTTGATCAACTAGGAGACTCTGAATACGTTCTTCAAACGCCATTGTCTGTTCAGTAAACTGTTTTTGAAGAGCAACAAGAGATCTTTGAGCGTTATCTAAGTCCGGTTCACATTTCTCCTTTCCCAACATTTTTTCATTCTCATCTAGGTTGTTACAATCTAAATATCGAGAAACAAACCAATATAGCCCTCAAGAGGATCACGTCGAACTCCAATTCTATGCAAAGAAGAACAAGAAGAAGGTGTCGCAAACGACATATCCGCAAGACGCTTTAACTGCTCAATCATTCTACGAGCATCAATCTCTCGGAGTTTCAGTCGATCATTTTCAGCGTAGAGGCGTAGAACGTGGTTGCGTTCAGCATGTAAGTCTGTCTAAGAATCAGACGTTAAAAGCTTTAAATTATAAAATTAAGTCATGGTAGAAGATTGACCTTAACTGAATTAATGCACATTTTTGGAAAAAATAAGAAACGATCAATGTCACAAAACAATTACTCAATGCTCTAAGTGCATAGGTTTTGTAAATGAGTGACATAGATTTACTGATCTTTATAGGGATGGTTCAAATGAAGAAGTAAGGAAAAAAATACCTCCAATTTCGAGATTTGATTTTTTAAATTCATTATGGCATCCTCTTTTTCTTGAAGCTGGATACGCAAAGAATGTTGATGATCAATGGCTTCTGATATTTCGTCTAATTGCTTCTGAAAATATTCATCATCAGCAGCAAGAATGGCGACCTTTTGACGATAAAACTCCAACACATCACTCGAAGGGGGTTCATTTGATAATAACTCATTTGAGTGTGGACTATTAGGCAAAGATCGAGATTCGTAGGCAGAGTGAACCCGATGCGATGGCCCGCAATATGATTCAGTCGATGACATGAAGTCAAATTTTTCTGGGTAAAAAAAACAAATTTGAATATGGATAAATGGGTGATTTTTTCCAAGGAGAAACTAGTGCAAAAGTTAGCTAGGCATCTCCTTTGTTTTCTTATTTGAGTGATACAAAGTTCTGTTTTAAATAGATATATATTGATTTTACAGTAATATCCACATTAAGAAAACAACTTACTGAAATTATACTAAGGTATAAATTTCATTAAATGCCCAAACATGATTGAAAGATTAGAAAATTGGCTTAGCGAATGCTTGTCAAAATGTAAAAATCTAAAGCAAGATAAACATTACAGTTCCATATATTATATATTATGAATCGAACATCGCAGATTCAAAATACAGAATCCAACATCAACTTTTCTGACTAGCTGCTAATTTAAAGGAAGTAAAAAATGCGAATTCAGGCGCGAACAAGAAATAACAACCGAGATAAAATTCCCTCCAACATTTCAGTGCTGATTGCAAACAAAAAGAGGTGCAAAGAAAAAATAAAACGCAATTATACAGAAGTACACATTTCATTTCAACAGTTATAAAAACAGTATGTACAAAGTGCATCAATAAATCATCTCTGAACTGCTGAACACCAATCCTTTCGATTTCGAAGTCGCCTCCTTTTAGCGCCAATATCTTCTTCCGCTTCTTGTCGATCCTCCTCCGAATCAGTATTGGGCTCCCCATCGAGAAAAACTCCACCAGAAAATTTTCTTATCAAATCCGCAATGGGAGCAATTGAATCCTAAAAGTAACAAGCAAACCATGATGATAAGCTCCACCACTATAAAAGCAAAATAAGGGTCAGGCTAAAAAACGCCTTACTTTATAATTGACAAGATTCAAACTCCACAAAGTATTATCCTCAGATGCATCAATAAACGGATCATCTTCGGGACTTGAGAGTCCAGGTGAATAGCCAATCCGCTCCTTGGCTGCAATATACTCGTTAACAGATCTGTAAATGGAATTCCAATTGGTTTTCAAGTACTCAGGAAGATCAAAGACCTCATTTGGTACGATGTCGCCCTCATTCTGTGGCTCATTATTTCTTTTATTTGAAGCGGAGAGAAACCTGCGCTGCGACTTAGTGAGGAATGTTCGGCGAACTGGCAAAGATATGTTGGATCTGGTCCAAAGTGGAACACCTGGGTAGAGCTCCTCTTGGCTGGCGACAAACCGGAATGCGCTCTGAGAGCACAGACGATGGAAGATATAATAAGCGTCCCATTGATTGTCCGAAGCAATATTTTTAATGAACTCCAAAAGAGATCGCCAAATTGTTGGCGTAACATTGACACGTGCCTATGAAAAGTAATGAGGCATAATAAGCGTCAGAAGTAAATATAGAGCTTAAGTGAATTAACTATTTTAAGCACCTGTTTGACAATGGGCTGTTTTCCGTAGAATGCGTAGATTAGATAGAGCGATCCGATTTTCCGCAAAAATTCAGAAGAAACATTGAAATTATTTACAAGGGAGAAGAAAATTCCCTCAAGTATATCTCGAAGAGAGGCCTGAGTTTGACGGCCATAGATTAATTCAATGAATTTCTTCTTCTTCCATAATTCAGAGAAGTCTGAAAATCTCGGACTACCAATTTTAATAAAATCATTTAAAAAATTGTTTAAGTCCTCATCCAGTCCGAAAATGGGAGAATTTAACGTGTACATGCGATAATCTCCGCCAGACTATAAGTTATATAGAAATATATGAGTATGAATTAAATTAGACATGTAAATTAAATCTAGACTTAGCATACCATTGTGCTCGTATAGGCTATTTTGCATGAAGTAAAGTGTACTGAATTTTGCGCCCTGTTTATAGTGATTTCAGAAGCTAAATAAAGCAGAGTTCAGTTATGTAATGCTACCTCATTTTGTTTTGGTGCTAAAGTATAATAATGCTCTTGGGAATAATTATTGCGGTTAATCAACACAAACGTTGTTTTTTTATTTCCTATATCTATTTAAGTAAATCATTTCACATAAATTGCCAATTTTATAATATTATATTTGTTCGGAAAACTTTCAATTCTTAATAAAATTCGTGTTCATTATACTTACTTATTTCAAAGATTTGAACATTGTTATAAAATGAGCAAATGCAGTACACTTTTATTTTTTATTTTCGATTCATTGAACCAATTTACTATCAAAAGCTATCTTTCATCGCCACTATTGGTTTTGTTTGTGAAAATAAACATTACAAATCTACAAGATAAGTAAATATTCACCCGTTTAAACTTAATATGGATCATTTAAGATCTTACTAATAATACTTAGATGATCCATTGAAATAACAGTTAAAAAGTTAATTCGAGTATATTTATTGCAAGATAATCTTGTTCTGTCCAGCTTTACTTATACCCTCCCATGCATTTGAAACAGTTCACCAAGAAGTGATCATAGAAATAATAATAGTTGAGATACTTTCATTACAATTCTGAAAATTATTGTTTTCCCTAAATCTTGCAAAGCATGTAACTACAAAAATTCTGTAAATTCGAAGTTATATATAGGGATTAATTGAAGTATGGCTTTATTTCTGATTGCTGTCCTAATTTCTACATTCGCCAAAGTTTTCATCCGCATGTCTAAAAAATTTTATTCTTTTTTTTAATATTTTACCAGTAATTGCAATGTTAGTATTTCTCTTGATGATCAATTCAATGTTATTATTGACATTTTTGGTATTAAAGATTTCCTCAACCCATATCGGAAACAGCATTTGACACCACTGATATCTGAAACAGGATAATTTGATATATTTCGCTCAATAGACCTTACAAAATCGCATAATATATTGTAATCATGTATACAGAAAATGGGTATTCTCTCCCAGAAACATGCCATTCTTCTCTTTGAGTCCAGACAATATATACTAATTTCATCCGGTAATTACACTTTTCCACTTTGGAATGTAACTACTTCACTTTTTCAAGAATGAAGTTATTAATTATTACTGTTCTTTATTTAATCAATAGTGATTAGCCTTTAATTCAAACTGCTCTGAATATAATAGTCCACTTCAAATCTGTATTATTCACTATCCTTTATTTGGCTTAGAATAAAACCCTCAATCTATTTTCAATGCATTCAATTAAAGATGCAAATATTGGCTGAAATTTCCAGTTTTCTAATAAAAACTAAAATAAAGTATTTTGAAATTATACTTTAGATTAAGCCTAATAAAACATAAATTATTAAACTCTTTAATGACCAAAAAATCAATTTTGTTCTTTGCTTAATCAAATTCATCCTTTGTGAATGGCGTATTTCATATGCTAAACTGTTATAAGCGGCGGTCTGTTTGTAAATGAGCTTTGATGTTTGTTCGTTAAGTGAATAGCCGGTTAAATGTCGGCTCATTGCTTGATAAGTGAACAAAAACTTGACTATATTCGGGAGGTGGTAAACCATAGGGACCCGAAAGAGGATTACAAACTTATCCGTAGTATAGGAGTTGGAACGTATGGAGAAGTTTATAAGGTAATCCTATTTGACAAAATATTTTGTTTCTTAGGCTCTCCGATTGAATACAAAGGACTATGCAGCTGTTAAAATAATAAAAGTGGATGCAAAAGATGATATCAAAGCTGTTCTTCAAGAAATACAGACTCTAAGGGACTGCCGTCACCGCAATATTGTCCAGTTCTTTGACAGCTATTTTCGGTTTGTGTTTATTTACTCCGTTTATTATTTCTATACAGACACAATAAACTATGGATTTGTATGGAGTTCTGTGGCGGTTATTCGATGCAAGACATCTACACAAGTAACTTGTTATTAATTATTACTCCCTTAGATACACGGAAACCGGTCGACGAAGATTGTATTGCCTTTCTTTCGCGTGAAACACTTCGAGGAATTGCTTACATGCACAGTCAAGGCAAAATTCATCGAGATATCAAGGTGACTTTTTATGTTTAAATATCTCGCTCAAATTAGTATCACTTTTTTTTACATTTTACCTTTGTTAATTTGAGTCAATTTAGACTGTATCTCGCTGCCTTTTTCTTAGTTTTATCCGTTTTATTCTTTTAGGGAGCAAATATTCTATTGTGCAATGACGGTGCTGTGAAAATTGGTTAGTTTTACATTTAAATCTCTGCATCAAATTTTGCATTATTAATTATTATTAAAACAAATTTTCCCAAAAATCTTTTGGAATTTTCTCACAAGTTTCTGTTTCCATCGTCCATAATTGCTGATCAATTTCTTCATTTGATACGGCACTTTTGCCCAGTTTTTGTTGCATTCGAACGAGTTGATTTTGTCTATTCTTATTGTCGTCTAGCTGAGTCTTCTGGTTGCATTATTTTGTTTTCAAATATTGATTTTATAGACTTTTTTAAATTTGGTCTTTTGATTATAACGTGGTACCTAGTTTCAAGGTAAATTTTAATGCTACACTAACTACTGGTATTGCTCATTTTGATTGCCATCAAGAATGGTACTTCTCTTCTCAGCCGAAGGCCCTGACCAGGCATGTGTGAGAGACATTTTCACTATCACGTTTTTGCTGCACAACGCTAATTGTGCTGCGCAGTTTTCCGTTTTATATTATCAGTTGTTCGTACTCTAGCTAATCGAATATCAGCCTGACTCCCTTTTCCCCGAGGACAATATTTGGCATTATCACTGTGATTTATTACTTCTCTTCCCTCTTAATTTGGTAGGCACAAATATGTACAAATAATCCCCTTTATTGGCGAATTAAGCAGGTAGTTTGCTAGGAAGTAAATGTTCTAACTCTTTATTTGCTTATAGCTGATTTCGGAGTTGCTGCTCAAATCACGCACACAATTCAAAGGCGAAACTCTCTCATCGGGACTCCTTATTGGTAATTTATTATTTTCATTCCACTTTTAAGTAGTGTTTAATTGTAATTTTAACAATTTTTCTCACAAGAATTAACTGCTAGGCAGTGATCTTAATTTTGTTTACGTTTTGCCCACGAACTTTGGTCATCATATGTATTTTCTAATATGCTCTTTAACTCTCGCTGATAAATAAACATTTACCTTCTCCTTCCTAATCTACTATCCCTCTTTAGCAAATTTCCGTTAAAGTGCAGATGGACATTCAAGTATACGTAGTGAAGTGCGGTTAGGTACAGCGTATAGGTTTGTAGCACGTCTCGAAGCCTTACTTACGCATATACTCAGAGTAAAATAGTTAATTTTGTAAGAGACGACAATTTCAACATCGCAGAATTACTAGTTCATTCTCATTTAATACCAAATTTTTTGGAACACTTTCGTTGTTTATCATTTTACATAAATGCTTTGATTGTTATACAAGGCTGGTACCAAAATTCATGGATTTTCATGCATTATTAATCAGATCTCTTATAATTAATTTAATGAATTCTCACTTCTGTCAAATAGTTTTACTTAATAATTGATTTATTTGCTAAGCTACCTTTTCAATATTGCAGCATTGGATTTGAGTTAAAATTTAAAATTTGTTTAAGGATGGCACCCGAAGTCGTTGCTGTGGAAAGGAAAGGTGGTTACGATGAGAAATGTGATATCTGGGCAGTGGGGATTACGGCAATTGAATATGCCGAACTGCAACCTCCCATGTTTGATCTCAATCCTCTCAAGTTAGTTCTACTTCCTTAATACCTACGACCCCCCCCCCTCCATTGTCCTAAGATCCTCTCTTTCTAATCTCATCTCTTCTCTTTCAACCTTTAAACAGAGCTCTCCGCATATTGAGCATGAAAAACTATAAGCCGCCAACACTGAGGAATAAATCTAAATGGTGATTACATTTCCTTGCCTCATTCCGTTAGTACAGCACTACGTTCCTCTTACTTGCCAATGCACGTTTATTCCAATCTATTTAGGTCCAACAAATTTCATGGATTTTTAAAGTACGCTCTGACGAAAAATGAGAAGAAAAGGCCGACAGCTGAGCTTATGCTTGGGGTGAGTTTTGGTTCGCTTTTGTGTTTCTATCAAAATATTCTTTCATGCATAATGCAGTTTATTATTTAATGCATAATTTACGCCGAAATGCTTTTTCAGTCTTGGTCCTTCCCTTGTGCACTAGGTAAGCGGCTGTTGCGTTGGTTAGTATGTGTTTATAGTTCACCCTCTTCCGTCATAGGATTTAATTGTATTTTTATCGAGAGGTAGTTTCGCTATTCCCAGTGAAGTAATAAGAGAATCGTAATCAAAACACATTTCATCACTTTTTATTGTTTGATGTTTGCCTGAAACAAATAGTGAAAATCAACTTGAATCTTCCTTTTTTTGACGTAACTTTATTGTTTCTCTCGATATTTATTTGCGTCTTACATACCAGCGCGTGCCTTCCATTCGGATCTGCCAATTTCATAGCTCTCTGTTTTCTAATGTGCAGATCAGCTGGCAGTATGGGACTGATAGATTTACATCTAGTTCTCCCTTTCTGTGCTAATTACGGTTGGAATTCGAGGTATAAGTTGGACACTGTGAAGTAATTTTTTTACTACACCATTTATTGACAGTGTATTAATGTCAAATTTCGGATTACCAATTACCAATTACCATTGGTCAATTTTATCACACTTACAACTTATTTGGTTAGCCATACTTTAGATTGGTAGGTTTGTACGCATCATCTTTTCATTAATTGATATAGTTTTAATGAAAACTGCGTCCACTGAGTGTATTCGCTAAAGGAATTCGAGTGTTATCCATCATGCTTTAGAAGAATGTCTACATTTGCTTCCTTCAGTTTCAGTTTCGATAGTTCCACCAAACCCATTTCCTCGATTCTTAGTTTACACCATCAGTGATCAGCGTCTATTATCAGTTCTTTACCCTCGGGATTGTGGGTGTGATCAATTTTGCCAAGAACTGCATGTGTATCGCAAGCTATTTGAGGCCTGCCTAATCTTATAGGCATGCGCACCGAAGGTGCTTATATATAAACCACAATGAAAGTGCAGTCTACTTTTTTTGCAAACATATGCGTAGACAGAACATACATGCACAAGTTGATTTTCAGCTTCGTTTTCACACCGTACAATGGATTGTAAACATTCGACTGCTTTGCTTGGATAGTTTTGCCTCATTTTAATACATTTAGCTGACTGAGAAATCCCGGCATAGTCGGAGAGCATGTTTACTACTATGCTTACAGTACTTACATCGATGAGTACGTAGACGTTTACGTTGATCGCTTCCCCCTTTTGAGTGCACTTAGCGTTTCAAGTGCTTATTTGGAACAGTTGTTCAGGCTTGCCTAATTCTAGTTTTTCACTCAAATTTGGAGAAGGAGGGGGGGGGGGGGGGGGGGGGGGTTTTTTTCCNGGGGGGGGGGGGGGGGGGGGGGGGGGGGTGGAGGGCTTTTTCTCCACTCGACACTTTGCGAAATGTGAAAAAGAAAACAAATAACTTTTCCAGTTTTCGATTTTACTTGATTTAAGAGCTCAAAAACAATTCAACAAACGTCATCTTGAACCTATTTATGCACTTATGTAATACATGATGATTTGACGAATCGAGAAAGAGACAGTATTTAAATTGATTACTTCAGACGGAAGTATGTCTTTTTGTCCCAGGTGAAACATAAAACCACTTTCTATCCATTTATGCTCGGGTTTTATCCCATTAACCATTCGATACACTTAATATACTCCGTGCACGGATTAGTTAATTGTTTAATTTTATCCATACAACTAAAGGATGGGGTTTTTTAAATGACCATCTTTAAATGAGCCTATTTCTGAAAAGAGCCAAAATAATTAAGGGAAAATTACTGCGTATAATTCTTAATCTTTATTTTTGATGGCTCAGTTTTTTCTTGTTCACATCCGCTGTTATCTACCTATTTCATTGCGGCTTTTCCTCCGGCGCCGTAGCTATTTTGACCCATCTTTTTTTCCAAATCGATTTGGTGATTTCGCGTTTTAAATTGTAGCTACTTGGGTTTGTGTACAGAATAATGGTAAATGAAAGATTATGCTATGTTTTAATGTTTGATGTTATTGTTAGTTAATTTGTCTGTTTGGTTGGTTTAATTTTTGCATTATGTAATTAACGCTCTCAACAACTAGCTTTTATGAAGCTGAATTCACAGGCACATGATTTGGTGATTGAGGCCTCAAGTATTGTCTTGCACTTTTTGTCTCTTCTGGAAGTGTGTGTGTGTGTGTGTGTGTGGAGGTGATGGGTGCGGGGGGGGGGGAATGTTTACTATTTGCTAAAGGGAGTCTTGATATCCCGGGCCTAATTCTCATGGCCATTTCGACTTTTTATTTTAAGCAAATTTCTATTCAGGTCGATTGGCGATCGATAAATCAATTTACACTTAAGTCAACAAATCAAGGGAATACAGATAAAGGATAGATTGATAGTTATGAGCGAAATCGATGTCTATTTAAATCACAAAGAACGTACAAAATTATTTTAAATCAGAACACAATTTATTATCTGGCTGTCAATAGACGTTTTATTTACCATTTAACTTGTTATCTAGGCGTATGAAAATGCAATAAAATTGATTAATGCAAATTGAAATATGTGATTTCATTTTAATTATAAGTGTGGCAATCGTCTCTTTATGGTTCACTATCTTTTCCTTTTATATGGATTAACAATCGATAATAAAGGGAATTTAGTGGTGTTGAATAAAATACGATTTTGTTCATGAACAAAACTCTAAATGTGCTTCTTTAAGAAATATTGTTCAGTAGCCTTCTTTAGCCAACTGTCAGTATTCTTATTGATTTACTACTCATGGAAAAAGGAAATGTAATATAAGCAAAAAATGTGGTGAATTTCAATAAATTTTTACCTATCGAATCTCACCAAGCGTTTTTCTACAATTTGCCAAAAATGGTGAACACTCAAAGGTATCTTGACGAATTCAAAGCAATTGTCATGCAAAATAAAGAAAATAAAAGGAAACATTGTATATAAATCTTTTATGATTATTTTTAGCTGTTAACCGAAATCTACAGGTACACCACTAACTAGTCTCTAATGTAACCAGTTCGTTTAACCCCACTGAAACATTTATATCGGGCAGAGACAATAAATGCATGTGCTCAGATTTTACCAAAATGATTGTAATTTTCATTTCCCAATGTATTAAAATTGAATAGCAAGCAAATCTCAAGAAACTAGGTGGAAACTATGTGGTTTTTAAGGATAACTTTAGCAAACTTCTAAAAATTATCTCCAGTATAGCTGTCAACCATTACTATGAAGTAAAAGACAAAGTAGCATTTGATATGAAGTGTCAATTTTTGCCTATTTATGGCAAAATCTTACATGATTTGATGTGGAAAAACGCGCGAAAAGGGAGAATAGCACGCTAGTTTAGTTCGAGATTGAAGAGGTAAAGAAATTAACATATTATTAATATTAATTTAGGATATAAGGGATATTATGCGTGTTATGTGGTTTGAATTACTTAGGCAATGAGTCGCATATGTTCTCACATGAGCAAATTTTATACTATCCTTATATTTTGTGGTTTGTCTAACTCACGTAGTTAAAGACAATATCGTTGTATATGCTAATGTGGGAAGAGAATACGTGATTAGCAGTTAGCGTCTAAGTTTGTCTATCAGATATGTCAAACAAGCAGTTGCAATTCAGTTTTTATTAATGTACAAATCAAAGCACGAATGAGCAGTAGAATAGCCAAAATAAATTTAAATTGGGTTGAAACAAAGAATGAAAACCTGGGCTGCTGCATTTAGGCTTATAAACTTGTTGAAAATTAAAAAGGTGATATTGGTTTTTTAGGTCATTGTTGTTTTGTGGGTTCGGTCGTTGTCATACTGTAGAATTATCCATTTCTGTTTAATAAACTTGGGTATTTACGTCTTGCTCTTTTGTTTAGTCTTCTTCGGTCTTTAACAATTTGAAATGAATTATTCCACGAAATGCATGGAAGAAGTTTGCGAATGGAGTGGTTTTTAACTTGGGGACAATCATTACTGTTCCCGTTAACGTTGTCTCAACGAACCACGTTTCAGTGTCAGTAAGAATTTGGTGTAAGAAAGGACAAATTGTTTTTAGTCATGACAACAAAGAGAGACACGTGTTGTTGCATTCATCATTTGTTTTACTGGGAGAGTTGATGCGGCCGCACTCAAGTTCCCATCCTATTCAATTTACTGATGCTCCTCAAGTGTGCCTGCACAATTGGCCACAGAGATGTATGCTTGTGTGCTATTTCTTCTGTAGTTAACCGAGGATCTGATTGAATCAGGGGTTTTAATATGTCCTCATTGAAATTTGTAGATTGAAATCTTATAAACCTAGGTTGACGTGAGTGGAGTGCAATCACTGGGCCACAAATTTCAGAAATGACTTTATTATCCTTGGAGGTCTTCAAATAGGGTTGATGGAAGAGTTGAAAGGGATGTTTGATGTGTTCTCAGTCAACTTAAGAGTGAGACGTATTAAACGTTAAAATTGAAGGAAATATTTTACTCATTCACAAGTGGTGTTGAATGAGTTGTGGACAGAGAATAAATTATCCTACAGACTTGTTTCTTCCAGTGTGGCAAAGCACAAACTGAACCCAACTATCTTTTTTAAAATGTGCTATTTGTTGTTAATAATTCTGATATACTTCGCCACATTCCGACTTCTTAGAGTTCTTAATTCGCCCGTCCTAGCCCATAGTACAATTCGCTTAAAGAGTTGAATAGGTTGTTCTCCACATAATCGAGGCATTCACTCATGTCTCCTATTTCACTATTCATTGGTTGTTTTAATTTTCAAGTCAACGTGCCAGTAAGCTTCACCACATCGTGGCTATGCATTTTTACTTTTGTTGATTCGTTATTTTGAGTTTTCATTAGCTTACATGTAGCAATAGATTAACACCTAATTTTTCCCTTTATAGCATGAATTCGTGACACAGCCAACTCTCTCACAGAACTTAACTCTTCAGCTGTTGCAGCAGAATCGCAATCCTGAGCCATTCTCTTTCGGTCAACCTCGGCCCTCCGGTGACTCTGCAGTGTCAGTGGAGGCCACCCATGACGCTGGTCGTCCGCCATCGGCCAACAAGGTGCTGCAGACTCCCGTACCCGGGTCTAAACGACCTGCTCCTGCTAATGCACCTGCTACAAACTTATCCGCTGCAAAAGGACTGGCTACTCCCAAGGCTTCACATCAATATCAAGTTAACATCAAGGTGAGTTTCAATTTCATGCTTGAATGCACCTGTTCTGTATCATTAAGTTTGTGTTTCACCATTTGAGGGGTTGGTTACTAAGGTTACGTGCTGTATTTAATGCATTCCAGTTCCACTATCGAGCTCTGAATTCGTGTTAACTGTGAATTTAAGTGCCGACATGTTATTCAGCTTTCATTTAATTTCCTTGGCGGATTGACAACTCTGTTGTTTGAGCTATTTCATTCTTTGATGCTTTGTTCCTCTAGTTTTATTTTCCGTGACTTGCAATGGTGCTTGTATGCTAATTTCCCCTATTAGCCATCTTGGAGCGAGGCTAGTTGTTATAATCTTACTCCGGTGGTTGTAAGCCTCCTCTCTGCTTTTGTTATTCATCTGCATTATCGCTGTAGCAATTTTATTTACTCACTAGGAAGTTCAGAAACCTTCATAAATTTGATTGCACTCTTCGGAGCCTAAATCCATGTCTTCCCTTAATATGCTCCTTATCAAGTTTTAGTTAACACAAATCGATTGCTCTCAATGCACCCATTACTATCACTTGTGTTCTTAGCTTTTTTTTTCTTATCTACATAGTTTTTATAGAATGGACTTATTTGAGCCTGATACCTTAAAACGGTGGTTGTGTACACTAGTGAAATTTAAGATGCCTGCATTATTTGTTTCATTAATTTTGTTTAGCTTTCAAACTGATGGTGTTACTATTGCTGCTTTGTCAATTTGTGACTTACTTGAAACGAAAATGGTCATTATCGAGTGCTGGCATCTGCTTCGCTGAATTTACCTCCATATTTTCCTTAGCACCGGATACAAATATTTCGTCGAATATTTTTAATGTAAATAGATGATAGCCGTCCTCTTTTTTTCACCTTATCGTGAAATTGGCATCGCCATTTTCCGTAGTTTTTTTGTTCCTTTAAATATCATGCCTCCCATATTATTCCAGTAGAAAAGAGAATGTAGGCTATTTAATAAGTTCTAATCCTTGGATTGTTGTTTTCTTCCTGATTTCATTGGACTTTGTTTAATTTTTAATGAGATGAAAATATAAATAAATGTAATAAATGACTTTGAAACGTTATCCCGAGGGCTACCGATCTTTGGAAGAAGAAGAAGAAGAGATCTCTGATTAGACTTCAGCTGTAGCCCGCGGATTATTTTACTTGTTCTTTTTTTTCTCCTGATCGCGTTATTTGATTCCAATTTCATTTTTTGCCTTCGGCTTTTCCTGATTGGCTTTTTTTCCTTTCGAAAAGATGCCATCTTTTATGCGGGGTTAAAGTGGGGGACACTCTCTCTCTCTTTTGGCTGCACTACACTACCCTTTTAATAATATTGTACTATTCATGCGTTTTATCATGTCTACGTATTATGCCTATGCATGTATACTATAGGATAAAACTATTCGTCCACTGAGCGAAGTAAGTTGGTTGTTATCTCTCAACCCACCTTATTATTTATGCTCCTTTGTATGCACTAGCCGTTTGCATGTTGTGCCATTGAATGCGGTTAGTAAGCTAGCTAATAATTTGTGCTGAGAAGTGTGGATGATAACTAGTTGCAGTTGCTTCGCTTTTTTGGACGGTTTCGTGTTTTGAATCCACTTCTATTGCTAATCGTCCTACCTCATTGTGATATATTGCATCTTCGCATGATTACTTGAAAGACAGAGCTGTGATTTATAAAAATAAAACGCATTTTCTCATTACTCCTTGCTATTTTTAGAGTAGGCATTCGATTTACTCACCATTGGCTTCAATGTTCAAAATGTCAACGTTGAACCGTTGATAGGGAAAGAATTACTGATTATCAACATGACCTCTTTAAATATTGGGGTTATTTGATTAAAACCCATTTATCGGCGAAACGATTCTATCGCCTTGTTCCTGTTCTCGACCCAGAATTAGGCTACTTTTTCGATGTTTATGTAATTTCTTTGAGAGAGAGAGAGAGAGAGAGAGAGAGAGGCAAACTTTGGACGGAGTGAATGTTTTGTGAATTTATTTCCCCTACTCCTACACCTCCTACCTAATATCTGCTTTAATTCTAATCTGAATTTGAAATTTATGCTTAATCTACTAATGAACACGATGCCATTATAGCTAAAATTCCTTAAGACTTATTAATGCGGTGTAGGAGACTGATAAGACGCTGTTTTTTCCCGGAACGAGCGATTCCCACAGGTTGTCAATCAGCCGTCAATTTGCTTTAGCTACCCTTACAGGTGGTAGATATTCGTCATATAAAAGCTAGTATCAGTCCGGCGGTGTTCTGACCTCCAGACATCGATAATATGGAGCGACTTGTTGTTGCTATCTGGGGGGGGGGGGGGGTAAAATGCATGGTGCTAGGTAAACGCCACTTTTAAGCAAAAGACTTTATTATTTTCAAGGTAAAGGTATTATCATCAAAAGATAGTGAATATTTCCCCTTAATGAAATATTGGTGTAATATTAAACATTTTCTTAGCATTATTATTATGGAAACATTGGCTAACTCTAAAATTGTTTAAGCTAATATGAATTGTGCTATACTGTACCTATTTCGAACCGAACTTTTATGAGCTTTTGCCATAACAATTACCATTCTTTCTAGTTTTGATATCAATTTACAGATCTTAGGACTTATCCACTTCGAGGGGCCTTGCACCGTGATAAACTTCTTTTCCAGTTCATTTCTATTTGCGTATCTAAAGACAGACGAACTTAGTAAACCATACCGTCTCTCCTTTGCCAGACTGTTTTGAAAAATCAACATTGTGCACTGCTTTGCTAATCCATGCTTATCTAGATTCATGCAGACTAATGCACTGTAGGAAACCATTTATTATGTCTGTAATGAGGCTCATTAATTGCTGCAAGATATTTGACATTTAAATTATCTTATTTCCTGTAGTAGCAACGTGTGATTGGCTGTGAACTAGATACTCTATGTTACTGAGAATCAACTTAACTAAAATTTAATCATTCTAGATCATAGTTTGTTTGGTTGGGTCAGTATGATGATTTCTATGACACGTTTTGGGAAGATAGTACATCCATGTTTTGCCGTGGTTTTAACATCGTGCACTCTTCAGTATTAAATAAATAACATCCCTGTTCAAATTCCACTCTTTAATCGATTTAAATCTGCAAGCTGTTTGAAAGTGAAAGAAGTATTCAGTGATAGTGCGTTCCTACGTGCCTGATAATGAACATAATGAATTAGTCACATTATTCGCGTTGATTATTTTCATTGGCAGGCGGGGTATACCGGGTATGGTCGATCAAGTTTTAATCTTAATACAACTTGGTTGGTATAATTTCCTATTAGACTTCATTAATTACTATCTGCTGTTGGGTTTGAAATCAGTCTCATTTTTTGGTACAAAAGTTTATAGTCAAACATCTTCACACTAGGTAGTTAAGTTATTGTTATTTGCAGATGCGCTACTTTATTGCTATCTCATTTGGTTGCTTCTGCACTATCTGGGGACGAACTGTTTTAAACATGATTGAAATGAATAAATGTATCATGGACCCATGATTTGCTATCCTGGCATTTGCTATCGTAACAACCAAAAAATGGCCAATTTTTATCAGTGCATCGATTGGTGCGAAGCTAGTAGGGTCTTTCTCAGCAGTCAGAGGTCACGAGTTTGGTATCATAGTTTTCTTTCAGGTGGGTAGAATGCAACTTTCTCACCATACAAGCTCCACTAATATACTCTAAACGGTGCTGGTCATTTGTTGGACGCATCGCGATCGTAAGAATCCAGTTTTGTTCTAATCTGACTCTGATTATTACCTTCCTAATTGCAACCAAAATGCAGCAGAATACATTGGCGTCTATATTATAGGTATGCGTATTATCCCTGAAATCACTCTTATTTATGCCAATTCCCTGAATGCGTAATATGATATTTTGACCAGAGCTTAGTCTTTTATCGTCCCAGCGCGAGCCTTGTTTGCGTCATTGCACACTCGCCTCACATTCCCATAAACTGGCTTTAGTTCATGTTCTGTTGAATTGGGCAAAATTCCATTCAGACGCTAGCCCATCGTTTCAGAATGTGGAATTGGAGTGATTAATTTGTCTGTTGATTAATAACTGCTTTTCCTGAGCGGTCTAAATCCATGCCTTGTATGAATGCAGACCGTGCACTCTTGTGCTTGACTGGTCAATTAATCATGGATAAAAATAGCCATAGGCTGGTTTGGCTTTTATCATAAGGTATTGACAGATCCGTCTTCATTTAATTATAAGATGCTTGGCTTGTATTTTTTCTCTGTGTGTGTGGGTGTGATGTTACTTAATTTCTTAAAAGTGATGATCAGTCCGTAGGTGATGGTTGAAGCTAAGGTAACAGCAATTTCGAAAGTGGTGAAATCTGAAATGGAGAGGTCAACCCTTTTTTGTTGTCAGGACCTAGTTTAGCTATTCCGCATTCCGTAAAGTTCTTTTCTTTCATGCTTATATTCATGGATGTCTGTTCTGTTCTATAAGTTGTACCGTCATAACGAATAAAATTTAAGCTTTATTAGTTTCCTTACTCGTGAATGCTTTCATTACATTTTAACCTTAAAACATATTGAAGCTTAATTGATCTTTTTGATGCGTTTACTTGCGCACGTTGCTAGGGGACTTACTTAATGACTATTCTTTTATAACCTTTTAGACTCCTGTGAATCGGTTTCCATTCTCCTCCGCAGGCCTTGAGGCCGCTAGTAAGTATGTCGCCACGCATCAGGAAGAAATGGGTATGGTTTCAAGTAAACCCAACAAGGCTGTTTCACATCAGCCATCCTCGTCCTCTCAATCTAATGGTGTTCATGCCGTCGCCGCACCGGAACGAATTCTCCCTACTCCAGCAGCGCCGAGTGGTTCAGTCTATCCTCGATTTCCAGTCCGAGGGAATCGTCTGGAAGACGTTCGTATCATGGATGAACTGGCCACTCCACTCCCCGCCTACGCCGCCAATGCCCCCACTGCAAGCCCCGCCCCAAAACCGCCTCTTAGTGAATCAGCTACCACGCGGTCTGGATCTCCAGTCCCTTCTGCCGCTTCTTTCTCTTCAGCATCGACATCTCCCTGCAGTACAATCTCCTCCTCTTCTTCGGGGACGCGAGATTCGTCGTCCTCTTCTCAGAGTTCCAGTGTCTCATCCAGTGCTGAAGAAGACGGAGATGATGAGCAGGTGGAAGAAAGTGAAGGCGAGGACGAGGAGGGAATCTCTTCTGAAGGAGAAGTGGAAAAACCTCGACCATCGTCTGTTTTAGTTAGTCCTAGGATGGTGCCACTTAAGCCGAGTGTCGTTGCCAATGATCCAGAAGCTACTCCTCAGCCGGTTCGATCGGTGAGTTTTGTTTTAAATCGAGTATCTATCAGTTGACCCCTGCCCATACATATAGTCTTTCTGAAGTTAAGGTTCAATGGCTTTATCTGCCTTCTGAAGCCGTCCTACGAAATGAATTTAATAATTAATTTCCAATAGAGAGATGCTTATGGCCTTATTATATTTTCCTTTTATTTTAACTTAACCTTTCTTTTTTGTTTATCTGTCGGAATTTTGCTGGTTTAGTACTTTAAATGACATTGATAGACATTTAGAATTAGTGGTTTGCTATGAAATCTCTTTCTAATATTTTTAATAAAATCCTACCTACCGAATTAAGGTAGTCATATCTCTAATGCCAAGCTTGGTTTTAATCACAGAAATACATAAGCTCTGAAGACATTTTCTTTTTCATTTGGCAACCTATTTGAAGGTACTTTGTAGTCTTAGGCCTCAGCATTCACCTTTTTTAATTCTTACACCGAAGTGTAGCACAGGCAATTGGGTGGGGGGGGGGGGGGGGGGGGGGTTGTGATTGTAATTGCCAGTGTAAGACTAAATCTCTCGGAAGGCACCTAAGAACTGTCAAAAGTAACATTGTCAATGGTGGTGGAATGTTCACAGAAGTGTGTTATCAATATTTTTTACACTATCAAAGATGCGAAATACTGAAAACCATTCAAAAGGGCCTCAAACGACCCCAGTGGACGCACATCTTGACTAGATTATATCATGGTATCTTAGAACGAGTTACAACTTCGCAAAAAATTACAATCCTTAGTCAGTCGGAGAGGTTACGTCACAATTGTACATTTTCCAGAATCCAGATATCTGGATATCATGGTCACTAATATGGATAAGCAACTATTCCTGGTACCTTGTTTTCCATAATATTTGCATTCAACCAAATAAAGGATGAGGGCTGAGTTGTCACATCAGAATATCATCTTTATTCTTACAGCTGAGACAATGCCTGTTGCATAAAAATTTGTTAAAACACGAAAAGTAACTTTCCTTTGAGATGAGAACAATTTTAAGATCCTAAAACTCCTATCCTATTCAATTGTCAATAGCAAATCGGAAGTCTAATTTATGTTATGACTTTTACCCTCCAATATTTAAACCTGAAACTCAAATACATATATCTAGAACACTATAATATATACCGGGTTTAAAAGAAATGAACTTCTTTCATTATATTGGTTACACTTCAGGCATCATGCACCGAAACCCCCCCCCCCCTCCCCATACAATTTAAAATAGAATACCTGTGCACTTTATGTCCACTCTTATATTTAATATTATGCAAATACTTTACAAGTAAATTGACTACTGTAATGCTTAAATTCTTCATAAAGGTGATATCTTTGGCTCGAACGGAAGTAGTCGCGGCAGCTAGTAGCTGTAATGGAAACACGAAATCGGTTGTATCATCGGCAGTTGCGAACGCCGAGAAGGCACCTAACCAAAGGAAGGAGGATTCTTCCTCAGTTGAAGGAACTAACGATGAACGATCTCGAACTCTTACCACTTCGGAGTTCGCTACTGAAGATCTCGATTTGGATGTAGCTGATGAGCAACTCTTAGCAGCTGATGGCGTTCTCACTCTCGGCAAACGCTCATCGAATCGAACGGTAATACTCTCCTCTGATTTTTTGTATGCTTGTCAGATTTTGCAGAGCCAATCAACTGTTTTAATGCTTTAATACCTTTACTTTCGTATTTGCTAGAATTCATATGCTGTAACATAGAGAAGTATTATTTTGACCACTTGAAACTAAAATGGTTGAATTGATGGGAGGCACGATTTATTGGAACTTAGGCTCCTTTTATATCCGACTTCATAACTCATTGGATTGAAGTGTTTTTTTCAACAGTTTTCATGAGAAAACGGAAATTTTGTTTATTCCTTATAATGCTCCGTATTGACGTTCGCATCCGTTGTCAATCAGTCGATGGGTGATAGATGGGCTGTTACCATTAACACCTCAGTTCTCAAATTTTCTGTCTACTTCCTCTTTTGCTTATTTGAAGTAAATTTCATGTCATTGGATATTAATATTCAACTTGGTAGTCATCAATTGATATGATCCACTTTCAATCAATCTCTATCTTACGAACACTTTCAAATTCTGTGTAGCTTATTTTTTTAATGCTAGAGATTTCCAAATGGGAAGTGAAATGGATTTCAACGATCTTTCTAGCCTGACGTAGTGAAACGAAGTCTCTCTTGAGCAAAAAATGATTGACTTTGGGTGTGTTAGTTTAAAGGTGGTTTACTTGTCATAAAACCGAGTTTATGCGTCATGTCAACCTGATGTCACATTTTCTCATTTTGAAATTGGCCCACTTGATTACGATACTGGTCAGACATCTTTTTGAACGCTGCTCGAAGATTAATTGGTTTTTTTTATTTTGAAAATGGCTCTCTACGGTTAAGTGGCCTCAATACCACCGAACTGTTCAGTCGTCAATGCGTACCTAATGAACCGATTGATCGATCGTGCTTATTAAATCTGGGAATTGAATGGGTTGCCAGTATTCGTGTTTCTCACCAGAGGCCTGACAATGATACATCTATCCAAAATGAATGTTTTTTAAATGCTCTCCAAAATGGGCTTAATTTACTCTTACTTTTTATTCCAGGACTCCATTGGAGGTGGAGATCGAATTAGTGAATTCGGTTTTCGAATGCATGGTAATCCTTCAGAAGAGGAGGACGATGATGATGAAGATGAAGAGCCGGATTTCGAGAACATAGATCCAGAAGCTGGGTAAGCATATATCTTCTCGTCTCACGCAATCGATCTGTTCATGTCCCCCTTTTGCAGTTTATTTAATTTCCAAGATCTGGGTTCTTCTCCTTTCCTTTCTCCCTTTTGTCATACGATTTAATTATCAAGTGGATGGATCTCCCAACAGTGCAAGTTTCAATTTTGGTTAATTGCTCTTCAGATCCTCGCTCTCTACGTTTAGCCCAAATTTAAACGCCACTATGAGTCTTACTTTAGAAGTAGCAGTAGCAGAAACAGTCTAAAGTTGTACGACCGCACTTAAGCAAGCAAGAATACAGAAGACCTTGGCCAAACTTCAAATGCATCGCTAGGCGTATGGCAGTACTCATGCGCGCGCACACATGTGTCTATGTGTGTGTGCGACGAAAGTCGTTTAAGTTGCCAGTTGATGCTAATTTATCCTATCCATATGCCTCTTTATTTTCTGACACTTTTACTCTTTGTCCTTTTATGTTGACTCTGATGCTTTTCATGCTACAGACTTTGGCAAATCGCGTACTTTTCCTCAATGGCCAGCATTGAATGCATTTCAATTCCTCTAAATTTAAATTTTGCTGTTTTGTGTTTTGACTTCAGTCAACTCACCGCCTTTTCATATATCTCTTGTTTTTTTTTGCTTAACGACCGGTTGTTTACCCCAGGTATCTGGTTTGATGTGAATTTTTTTTTCAATTCGTTTCAAGTATTTGAACTTGCAGTGATATGTGCAAAGCAATAGAAAGTGGGACTGAATGATTTAAGTTGAAATTATATACTGCGAATGCAAGTTCTTCATTAATTACATTACTGTTTAAGATCGCGTTTAAAACTGCTATTGTCACCTTTTTCGATTCCCAGGGCTGTTAACTTTTTATGTCCTACAGAGATCTTAATAAATTGAACCATACATTTCTTGTCCCCCGCCCCCGCAATGCTGAACAGTATTAATGATGCACAACTTTCCACTTTGCTAATTATGACTTGTGGTTATCTGTTTAGGATGTTTATGATTTGGCTGTTTTTATTCATTTCGTTCTGGTCGGATAGTGGGCAGGAAGCTAGTTGACAATTAATTTATGAGAAATATATCTATTCAATTGTGATGGAGATAATGACGGCCCATTCTGAGTTAATACCAAGGTTCAATGCTGTGTGTTCGTGTAAATCACATTTGCAAGCTGGAACATACACCTTTCCTCCTCAGAAATAAGTGTGAAGATCAGTTCGTGTTTCTTTTTTTGTCTTTCATGTGTATTCTTGAAGTCGAGATGGTAATCGGTATTGAAATCCAATTTCACTAGCAGTTTTGCAAAAATTGTGATTTTGCTTAAGCATCCGGTGACTAGGTGTTCAGTTTTGCACTTAATTCGTTGCGCTTAGAGATCATTGCATCCTTGTGGTGAGTGAAAGATGCAAATTCTTGGTTCTAAGCAAATAGTCGATTTTTCCTGAGTTATTGATTTGTTTGGTACATCTTTGTCTGTTTGAACTTTTTCGTCTCAAAAAATTAAGCCCATTTATGAAATGTCAATTTCATGAATGAAGTTTACATTAATTTGTTTTTTTTCAAATAATATATTTCCTTTACATATTTTTGTATATTTATAGTTTTAAATTCCTGTTGCATTTTTTCATGGCAATGCACTTTTGGCAGTTGAAAGACTCTTGGTTTACTCATTTTCCTCATATTATGTTGGTGGGGATGACTTCTTAAAGTGTATTGGAGTTTGTTTATTTATGTCAAATGATAGTTATCATTAGCCCTTTAGTTGACTTCAGGCTCAGCGGAGGGAGGAACATCAAAGTCACAAAAACTCGAGAGGGGGGGGGGACAGAAGAATGATTCACAGATGTTAAAAAAGAGACAGACACAAAGGTAGAGAAAAGGTAAGGTAAGGTGAGTACTGTGAAAGTGGTCGACCATGACATACAGTGGGGTCATGGTCAAATGCCGAGTGATAGACTTTTTTGTCGTATGAGTATACGCTGCCCAGGGTGCACCACTTGGAGGTGTCTATCGAGTAAAAATTGTTCCGTTTTATCCAATCCCAGTAAATTCGCTAGAATACCGTCTACTCCTTATACCCTTTCTCAACTGCTATTTTACATTTGTAAAATTAGATATTTATTTACATTTATTGCTTAAATTTGAATGACTCTATGGGCTTTAAAGTCTTTAATTATTCCTCTTTTCTGGGTTCAGTGGTTTGTTCATTAATTAACCCCCCTTAACATAATTGGGCAATTATTCGTTTTAACGTTTTAAACGATGTGTTTTGGAATCTGCGTAGGGTTCGGTCTGCTAATGCAAACTTACAGATGGTACTGCGAATAATCACTTTGTTTATCGCTCACGTTGTACGTTAACTTTTTCTAGCAGTCCCACATTCATCGCGGTTATTATCTGGTTTGTATATCATATCGCCGCATATCAAAGCCACAAGTACCATATGCTTGTATTTACCTCTGGGCCAGTTTGGTTATGTGGTTGGTCGGTCTACCCCCTCAATAACGCTTAAAAATTAGCCACATTCGCTCTATATGCGTGAATAAGTCAGCGTATACTTTTTATTGACGTAATTATCACGATGACGTCATTGGTGGACACAGTCTGTGGGCGTGATTTTGGTGTTTGGACTAAGTTCTTGTTGTTTTAGTGTCTCAACCTTTTGCATACATTTGGTTGCACGTCCATTATTCTACCAGCAAGATTTAGATGGTTGATGACGTTGCCTTATTTCTATAATAATCCCGAATCAGTCAATTAGTGCGTTTAATTTATCTTTGAATTATCACCTTACCTATGTCTCTAAAATTTTAGTTCTGTGATATCTAGTCTCATTCTACTTCGCAAACGTACGCTCTAGGTTAAAATCTTATGCCCTCGCTTTTGCCTTTGAGATAAACTATTGCTGACAATTTTTTGAGCATTTATCATTGATATTTATTTAGTAACTGTTTATTATGACGCCAAAGCTCATTCTATAAGGTGCCTTCCATAGTTCCTCTTGGGCGAAGGGTCAGCGTCCTAGCGCCTCTCTGGTGAGAAAACTTAATTATATTTTCTCCTTATTAGAGGTTGGACAACTTGCTCACTTGGTATGCATCAGTGGTTATCGAACCCCATGGCATTACTGTCATGGCTATTGAATATTCATCACTATTTGCTTACATTAAGTTGCATGTTTTATTATGTTATTATTTTCTATGTGTATTTGTTCTCTGTAAGGTGTGTTCGGGCTATAAATTTATCAGACTGGAAAATGTTTTCGAAGTCGTCCGTCATTTTTATCTGAACACTTTTCTATGCATACTAGTGATAGCTGAATGTGAATCGAATAATCTGTTAAAATACATCCCTCTACCTAAGACCACTATGGGAAAGTATTTACCTTCGGCCTATTTTGAACTTATTTTGGCAGAATAGCAGATAATTCAATATGAGGTTTTATTGGATGTTATTATCTACGCCAAGCCAGAAATATTGGACCATTTTGGAGGCACCAGTAAATAAGTTGAATAAAAGAAGATACTAATAAAAGAGAGTCTTCATGTTGATGATGTTTAGAGCTGTGTTATGGAGGTACAAGTAGACTATAAATTAAGGGCTCCACTTTGCCAATCTCGATATATCTATTTCTAATGATTAAAGAGCAGCAGTTCAATTTTACTCAAAATGTCGCTCTTCTTTGTACCACTTCTGTATTTGTCTTGATAAAGCACACTTGCTGTAAAGTGTTGATTAGGGAATCGAAAAAAAGCGATAAGAAGGGACTTGAATCAACCCCTCCCCCCTTTATTACTTCCACTTCAGTCGATATCTAACATAGTGTTTGATATACTTCTCACACCCACATCTATTTGACATATGCAGGTTCATCTCCCACCCGGGGGTGCAACCATCTGTCAACCAAGGCGGTCAACAAAGGGAATCCCGTGTTCTGGGTGAGAATGGGGTAAGTCAACGTCGAAGACCAAAGCGAGGCAAATCTGATCCCAAAATGTCGCAGCGAGTGGCTTTTCCCCAAAGACAAGTCTCAGAATCGATTGAGAACACCGTCTTTTCTGCGTCTGGAAATAGCCAGAGTACGCAGTCACAACAGGCTCCGACTCCTAAGAACGACTTTTTCCCTGAGAAGACTGGGGCGTGAGTGCCAATCTCTGCGGTCTTTTTTGGTTATCGTTTATCTAACCAGAACTGGTCATTAATTTCATGTCTTCCATTTCAGTGAACTAGCAGACATGCTAAGGCAAATAAAGTTTGCTCAGAAGTTCGCTTGGCTTGCTGGGTAAGCATTTCCTATTGAAATTTTTCCTACATGCCTTTTCTCTCAAGTCTTAGCATCAATCTGATAATACAAATAGTGATCTTTGTCCAAGATCCAGAAGACCCCAGAGGCGACACCATAACTTATTATAATTGTCAGTTCTGCTTGATTAAGTAGACAAACAAAAAACGATTATGACGTGGGAAAGTCCACCATAATCAGGTTCCCATGTTTCAAAAGACACATTTCTCTAATTATTCAATGTCATCTTTGCACTCTAAGCGCTGGCTTTTGAACTGGATTATGCCCTGATATTCTGCCGGGTATTTTAACCCTCCACTTCTGGAAATATTAAATTGGTGGCCATTTTCAATCACCTTTTGTATACAAATTAGTAATCACACTGATTATTGACGACGACATTAATCAGTCGTTGGATTTGTAATTTTCTAAGTACTCTATAATTTGATTTCTATAGATTTAAATATTTATGTACCCGAAATTTATGCCCATCCTTTTAGCCTTGTTTGCTTATTTCTTAGAGTTAATTAAAAATTATATTTCATTTGAGAATTATTTGCAACCTCCTATGTTCAAAATTGATCTGATTTACACGTTGACTGCTAAATTATTCATTGGAAACGCAATCTTAAGTTGAATTGAGGCGATAAACGGAAATTACGTCTTGTTGTTTCTCTCAATTTTGCATACATCAAGGTATTAGGATAATAAATATTATTTCTTCCAACTTTTTAGCGAACCGTCTGCAGCTCCTCTGGGTTTGTCTTCCTTCAATCCAGGCTCCGTTCCAACCCTCCATCACGCCACTAGTTCCCCTGACGCTATCACCCACATCCATCATGTTCCAAACGGCCGTTCAGGTGGTGGCAGTAGTAATATTCTTGTTTCCCTAGTAACCCCTAACACAGAGGCTACGTCCAAGGAGAATGATCGAATTGGTGCTCCCCATCATCCTTCCCCCCAACCTACAATGGCGCAGCCTGTCCCACGACCCAAAACATCTGTGCCCTCAATTCCTTCCTCCTCGGTTGGAGCTCTTTCCACTTCCTCTCTCATTGGTCGACCAACTACTAGTCTCACCACCTCGACATCATATTTACCATTCGTTTTATCCTCTGGAGTTCAATCGGTTTCTAATTTAACTACTGCGGAGACTCCTACTCCTGCTGCTGATGAATTGACTCGCACGATCACTACTGCATCGAGTGTCATCAACTTTAACTCATCTTGTCTGGAGGTAGCTAGCGACAAAGGTCATGTCGGTATGTAGTTTTCCTTATGAACATCTTCATGTCTATGCTTTTTTCGTTCGTTTCTAAGGTGTAATGAATTTTACACTGATGGTTTGTTAATATTCTACCCACCATTGTTGTAATATTAATCAACCATGAATCCTTTTAACAAAGTATTATCGTGTATTTTCTTCGCCTGAATTGGTCCAAAATTGGGAATAACCTCCTTCTCAAGTTTTTTTTATTTTTCATTTGAAAATATTTTAATGACTAATAATTAAGTCAAAATCTTGTCTTTCAATTAGTCTATAACCCTTAATAACCTTCAGCGAGTTTGTTACTATCAATTAAGCCTCCTTTCGATGTGATTCGGTGATCTCCCAATGCGGATTTACTTGGTTAATATTGCAATCATCATTCTTACAGTATCATTGCATACGCGTAGAATTGTAGTGTTTCATATATACTAAAGATTTTCCTATCTTATTTACGTAGAAAGGAAAGTTTCGTAGTGTGTGTGCACTATTGCAGCTGAAAACATTCTATCTCAAAAACAATTTTTTTTACTTTTAGACATTTTAATGACACATTTCACTTTAAGATTAAGTTAACTCTCTTCTGTTACCGGATGTTATTGTTCAAGTAGCCTTTGAAATGAGAATTTTTTTGCTGGAGGGTTAAGCCAACGTGTGTGTCCTCAATTTGGTGATACTTGGGGTCTATGGCTTGACTTTTGCTCCCTTTTAATTCAATCTGATCACTATTGTCGTATTCATTTATGCAGACAACAACAAGATCACGAATGGGGACACTACTACGAATGCTACTGCTTCTGCTGTTAATGGTAAGGAAATGTACTTTTTCACCTCCACTGTGTGCCATTCATTTGTTTTTTTGTTTGATTTCATGGCCATACCTTGTCCACAGTTGGCGAGTTGGGCCTTCATTCCCTGCCCCTCTCGAAAAGAATGCTGTTTTCTTTTGCATTCATCTTTGTGCTTGCTGACTTTTTGAATCTCCTATGAACTGGATGTTGCGATTGTGATTTTACGCATTGTTAGGTAGCTTTGTGAGGTATACTTGTACGTTTAGGGTAACATTATTTGAAAATACTTGATAGAAAGTCATTAGGGAACTCTGTTGAGGCCTTGCAAATTAGAAAATTAAATCTTCTCTTTAACGATTTGTCCAAAAACAGCTTGTTTTTTTCATAGTTGATTGAAATAGCAGGAAGTTAGGAGGTGTGGATGGAATATTAGTTTTGGATTGAGTTCCCCTATACTTCAGCGACTAATTCAAGTAGTATTTCTGTGGATGGATATTTAGTTCATAAAATTTAATCTATTTTTTCAGCATAAGTCCTCTTCGACGCATGTGATTCTATTCAATCAACGATTTTTATCCCGCATTTTTATTGTAGTACAAAAAGGTGTGTCAAAATCCACTGAGAATTCTGAATCCCCATCATTGTCGTCTTCAAGTGATAGAAGCACGACAGCAAAATCCCAGCAACAATCGCATTTATCCGTTTGCCAATCAACAGAAGTCGTTTCCTCCTGCTCCGGTAAGTACTCTTCCTCGTTTACATGAGCTATGCTATATTGCATCTTTTCTTACATCAATTGTGCTTGCGTTGACGTCTTCACCTTTTTCTCTCACTTTGGCTCATGCCCTTCATTTGGATTCGTGTCGACCCTAGGAATGTTGGCGCTGCGATCAAGCCATTTAGTATTTTCCATTATCTGTAGCATATTTTATCTATTTAATGAAAGTGGAATACTTCTGTCATGTAGTGTGGGTCTTTGAACCTACGGAAATTTTACTTCCCCATGTACTAATTCTTCATTCCCATCTACTCGTTTTATTGTTTACTTGATCAAACCAGGCTGCAATATTAAAGTGTCCGAATTTTAACCTGTTTAAATCCCAGCTGTAACACGATTTTGATGGTCACCTGTGTAATGATTTTCACCTTAAAGTGCCTTGGCTTTTTTATCTGACCTCTTTAAATCCTTAAAATTAACCTGCTGGGGGCGTTTTTGACGGATTTACACTTTTCCCACATGTCATCTAAGGCCACTTACCAACTATGCGTATTCTCTTTGGAGTTATCGCTTTTTAATTTTGGCATTGCTGTTCCCATTCTGGTTTCGTTCATTTTAACGGATATCCTTTCCACATCTGTTGATGCATTTAATACGTTGTACATTAAATTACTTATATAATGACTCTTAATCTTAGTAATTTAGTTATTTAATCGTCTACTTAAAACCCCTAGATGCCCTCTTTCGCTCTTCCTGTCACTTTGTGGAGAATTGCCATTCACACTCATTAACAGTGATCTGAATAAGAAGCAAAGGGATGTGTAGTCTTCCATCTCGACTTGCAGTTTTCTTTGCTTTCCTATTACATTATTTCTAGTTGTAGTATTAGTAGTTTTTACTATTGTTGGACAAATCCTATGCTTCATCTGATCAAAACACCAAATTAACATATTTTGGTGTTTGCACTTCAGCTGTGTGTATTCCCAGTGGTGATAGGAAGGGAAAATCGTTCACGCTGAGTGGTGAATTGATGGGAGCCTTTTGTTTTCTAGAAGGTTCTTACCACTTGTGACTAATGTATGCACATTTACTCATGAGTCCTTGTAAGAGTCCGTCTGCCTCTATTTCTAGTATTAATTGGGTGTCGGTTAAATCTAGCTAGGCTTTAGAAAGTGGGTGAATCTTATACCTTTGACTTCTGGAGAATTTTTGTATAGGCTCTTAGTAGATAGATGATGATTTGTTGTTAGATACCTATTTCAAAGAATACAATTCCCGCAAATTGTGTATCAGTTTGAAAACTTTTGGATGTCAGATCGAGAAAGTTGCAAATTAAATACCTTCAATATTATTAGCCTATCAGTTAGGGCGACCGCAACTTTTTTTCCTTGGTTATTCGGTAAATTTCTATGACTTTGAAAGTGAACTTCCATTCAGATATATTCCAGATTTCATAGCTTTATTAAACTGAAGGGGAAAAAAGAAATTTCCTGTTTATGACCAGTAATTCGTGTCGCCGTTATTCTCCGTTTCTTTCTTAAAGTCTTTCCAAGTTGAGATGCATTGACTTCGATTCGATTTGACCCACTTCAAATAACTAAGAGCTATTAATTGTTCAAGTTTTTTGTTTAGACTACCCCCCCCCCCTGATAATTATCACTTTGCTTTCCCTTTGTGTGCGTGCCATTTAAGGTAGAAATGTTTTCCGCTTCATTTGAACACCCTTTAAATTGTGTGGAAGCTCGCACAATTTCTAGACGCTTTCTATGTTATATAATACGCCGCGCGAAAATATCCATGTTTAAGTGCTTTCTTTACTGCTTTTCTGACTTGCTGCATTACTACCTGATTTTGTGTGTGCGTGTGTGTGTTTATATGTGTGATTGGAAGCTCTCTCTCTCTCCCGCTTCTTTTTTCAACGCCTATGAAATCAATCCGAGCGGGCTTTCAGACCAACGCCCCCCCCCTGTTGCAGAAGCATGTTTATGTAGCTAATAGTGCTGTGTTGTGCACATAGCTTTCCGAATTCGTGTCTCCTGAACACGATAGTGATATAACGAGATATTTGTGTGAGCTTAGCGCTGCATAGAACTCAGACGATTAATTCTAAAAAGTCGCGTAGTATTAAAAAAAGTGGCAGGGTTGATATTTACTGTTATGTTTGAACTGAATAAGGTAAGGTTACTTAGGAATATGCTCATTTCAACTTGTCTTTCTATTAGAAGTAACTGCATTCCTACCCATCCCATCAGAGGTTTTAACCTCGCACATCGACGTATTCTTGTTAGTAATGGAAGTGTTTAGGCAATATGATGGCTCCTATCTTTGCTTTTCTCAATTTGTATCGACAATATTATCAAGAATGAATTGAATTATAATCGATTAAAGTGGAAAAATCTTTTCCATGGATTATCTCAACAATCTCTCAGAAATGAAAAGTATGGATCTATATCTATCTTCGAATTTGAATTGAATAGCTACAATCATTTCGACACGCTTTCAACAATGTATCGTTGAAGTAGTGGTAGTCAGAGAGAGGATATTTGGGTTATATAAGAACATCAAGAAACACGTACGCTTAGGTATCTAACCTTGGGATTATAACCATAGTTTCTACTAGTTAACGCAACATTCATTTGTCATTAAAGATAAAAAGTTTTAAAGATGAGACCGTTTGGCTAGATCTAATCGCCCCCCCCCTCCTCCACACGCACTACTTCTAAACCCCACATCTAAAATACGGGTTGAAATGGTATATTTTTCCTTTTTTATAATGCGAACAGCATCGGCAATATCTGAATCGTCCTTAAATCACTCTTCACTTTCTCATTCACCTGATGCTCAACGCCGACCTCTATCCGCTGTGGAAACTCCATCATCATCATCATCAAAGGAGACAACTTCAACCGAATTTGTACAGAGACCTCAATCACTAACATCTCCTTGTCTGCCTACTCGGTCCTTCCTTCGACCAGAAGTACGTTTGTTACTATCAATGTGTGTTCTAGCGATCAAGGAAGGTCTATTTTATTTATGAAAGTATGGTGTGGTCGTTGGCTACTCTGTTTAGCTGCTTGGTGACAGGGTAATCAATATGGGCTGAGATTTCGTCAGCCTAACCGATATAGAGTGCTTAATTCAACAAAATCGAAGTAGAATGCTTTGCAGTAAAATGGAGGAGTTGAATGGTGGAAACTCTTTAAGAAACCTGTTTTCATGACCAAACAGTTAAAAGTTGGAATTATGCACGGTCATCTATTTTTTTAAATAGTAAAAATGTGACCAAGTTTCCAAAAAAATATGCACTTTTTAATATACTTTCGCTTGTGATGCTCTTGTTGCAATCTATTATTTCCATTTTCATATTTATTTACATAAATAGCGTGACAGGTAATATTTAAAGCAAAGCCAGCCAGCCGGCCAATAATAACTTATCTTCAGTTAACATAATTTACCGTAATAATTTTATTAGCACTCTTGGACACCAGCGTTTCATCCGCATTAGTGACTCATATAGACGGCGTTCTTGCGTTCGTGGTTTATATCTGTAACTTTTATTCCTCTCGAATCCTATTTTTATCATCATGACCTCATTCATGGGTCCGTATGCGAGGATCAAGTCTAAGTAATTTACTAGAGTTGACGCAATTCGTTTTTCAGTACTACTAGGATTTTTTTACTGTGTTGTCAAATTACACAGCGTTGTGTAACAGTAACCATGAATATTAACCGATTTATCGTAGCGCTTTATTTTTTACGCTTATATATTTGCGGTAATCGTTAGTACTGCTATACGAAAATAGCATTGATTGAGTCAAGGTGTGATTTACTTCGTTGGTTTCTTTTTAGCTAACGCCGACCTCATATAGTCTGAATAGTAACAGTCGGCAGAATGGAATTTCGGAATCAACAGAGCAATCACAGTCAGGACGGGCGAGTGGTTTACGGCAGATAATTGAAGAGGAAAGTGCGATCAGAATCCCCGAAGGCTCCGCTCCCCTTGCTGATCAGGAGATTGAGGAAGATGACATTATCCCAATTGACGCTGATGGGGAAGACGAGGAAGCAAAGATGCCAGAAAAACAGTCTGAAGAAACCCCATTACTGCCACCACGTATTTTCCATCCTCGCCGAGTTCGCAGTTTTTCTACCTTGCTGAACAATGCAATTCCTTCAACTGTGCTTAAAACTTCCCCATCTTGTCCAGCTCTCATAGATCTCACCAAGTGTACTCCACCTCCTCATAGATCGTTCCTCCCAAGGAAGACTGCTTCTGCTCCATCCATTACAGAAGAGGAGAAGTTGCATGTCAACGGAGAATCCTCTAAGGAAGCCACAGTAGAGCCGGCAATGGAAAAATCCACCCCCAATACTTCAACGGCTGTGAATGTATTCACTAAGAGCGCTGTCCAACGCAGAGTATTGCCACCTGCTTACCTCTCTCCTCAACCTTCTCGACTGTTGAGACGTTTGAGGCAGAGCCCTAATAGAAGTACCAATAAAGTCAGACCAACCTCCGTATCGGTCACTTCTATCGATCACGATTTCCAGAAGTTGTCGAGACTGGTTGGTGCTCCGCCCTGGGCCCGTCAATCTACCACCGACCTTCCTCCTACTCCTCAGGTTCATGTAAGTTCTTTGTTATTCTGTTGCATCTCTACTTCTACCTTCCAATTCTTTTCCAATCTCTCATTGTTATCCTATCTGACTGTTTGCTAATGCACTAAAGTAATAATTAAAAAAAATCAATGGATGGGACAAGGCATCTTATTATTAAGAGTCTTGTTAATTCTTAACACAAATAGAACAATGGGTGTCATGAGAAAATTCGCCCGAGCCGGTATAAGTAGATTTTTACTGACTGTTTGTTAATTCCCTCTTTTAGATGGGAGCTTGTTTCACACTAGTTTTTGAAGGATGTCCCTTGACTATCAATTCGACGGCTAGTTGGATTAATCCTGCGAACAATGGTAAGATTAAGGTGAATGATATTTCTACTTGCAATTTTACAAAAGTGCTATCTGCTTTTTACCTTCTTTACAGCACAAATCCTGCTATTTGGCAGCACAGAAGGCGTTTATTTTCTCAGTCTTAAGGACCTGGCAGATCGGTCTTTAGAGTTGGTAAGTTGGCCTTTTTGGAAGCTCTGTAAAATACATATAACTTGTTCTTCTTTGAAATACTGCCTCCATTTCGGCAACTAATAATGAATTTAGGAAAATTAGGCGTGACCTCGACATCATTATTGACAAGTGAAAAAATGGTTGAGTATATATAGTGTGTATTAACGAACTAAATCTATCTCATGTGTTAGATGTGGTTAGAACTCTTGTGCATTTTTTCCCCAATTTAATGAATTAAAACAAACTTCGTGCTTCTCTTCAATTAACTTGCTTGCTCGTGCGTTGCAAGGTGAGATTCCCTTTGCCCTTAACATACGCCATATACCGATGAAGAAAGTGCTCTATTGTTTTGGTTGTTAGATTGCTGGGCGATTTAGAAGGCAATACCTAATTTCACGTGTTTTTTTCTTTTCTTCTCTTCTAGCTCGCTTCACGATATTGCCATTGGCTGGCAGTGGTGCAGAACACGATGGTTTCGGTCTCTGGAAATCCACCACACCTTTACACCCACAATCTCACTACACTCATGAAGATGAAAGCTTCTGGACACTCCATGAATGCCAAACTCAAAGGCATTTCAAATCTCTTCCCCAAGTTAGTCTCTTGCTTATCTTAATATAAATGCGTTAGTCCTGTCATTGTTAACTTTAAGACAAGTATATCCCTTTTTATACTGCCTTCTACTTGGCATTAAGGCCTCTATTAAATGTCTATTTCAATGTTCCTGCTTGAAAATACTGGTTACCACACCCTTCTGTTTGCAAACTGGTTACTTGCGACTTCAGTTTGATAAATAAGATATTAAGAAACTCGCTGCTCCACTGATACACATTTATTTTCTGTCTGTATTTTTATGCCAACAGTAATTGGAGAACTTGTTCACCCTATGAGGAGTTATTGTGGGGCATGGAATGTCTCATAATGTCTCTGAGGTATTCATTCTCTTACTTGTAGCATTACCGCTAAATTGTTTACCAGACGAAAAATTACTCAATGTTTTCATAAACTATCGAGTGTTGGCGAATTAGATTACTAGCCATTGCTTTATCAAGAAATTATATGGAGAGAACTCATTTTTTTCTACGTGTTCTTTTAAATTAAAAGAAAAAATAAACGGAAATCCGTTTGAAGTTGTTTTTACAGCTTGATCGTGCAATTCAGTCCGTCCTTTCTTTGGCCTCCGAGACTGTCAAAATTCCTTATCTACTTTATTCTTTCAATTCAAATAGAAGGTCACATCAAAGGTGTAAGATTTACATTAGCATACAGTGCTCGATGCACCGCTGATCTAGGGCTGAAAAGTTAATTGGAGAATTCAGTCTTGCAGTTGCAGTCACCCTCACCTTCTTAAAAAACCCTTTCCTTGCGAGAGAACTCAGTTATAGACGAGGAGCAAGGTAATTGTTAATTCTTAAAAAGTAGCTGTGTTACATTCATTCTCATGTTCTTAATCTCTCTGCTCTCTCCACTTCAAATTGTCTTACTACAGAGGAGAATGTGTACTCGGTTTCTTCTGACTTCATCTTATGTCTAGTTTTACATTCTTATTTAGCCGAAGGCAAAGTGAATGCAGGCAGAAACATTACTATTAGTTGACTTGAATGAGAAATACCTGCTTCTAGACTAGGCAACTACCGTATTTACTCTCACTCTCCCTCTCTCTCCCGGAGACGAGAAGAGTAGATTGGAGCTGATTGGTTGGCTTCATGCGCATATATCTGTCTCACTCTAAAGTTTGTCCAACTAACTCCCGCGTTTGGCTCTCTGTGTGCCATAAAAACCGACTGCTTGTTGTCTTGTCAGATCACACTTGCCACGGTAGGAGTTGACCAAAACAGGTTTTTTGCAGGTTTGAAATCCTGGATAGAATCAATTTCATTCCGCGAATCGAAATCGGTATTCAGTTAACTAGTGTTCTGTTTAGTGTTGTTTCACGCTTGTACTTGGGAATGAGGTCTTCTCGTCGCTTATTACTGGCTAACTAAGTAATTTACGTAACTTACAAAGTAAGTTTTAATTTGTATGTTAGGAACGGAAATAATGTCCTTAGCTGTACGATTACTTCTTTCCTCTAAATGTTAGGACGTATCTGCACATAGTCTCAGAAGACTTGAGGTAGGAGGGGTGGGGGTGGGGGGGGGGGGGGGGGGGGGGGGGGGGGGTTGACTATATTGTATCCTAGTATAGTGTGTTAATTGCAATTGTTTATTTTGGCAAACAGACGGTAGGGGAAGTCAATCATACTCGAGTCATCATGCAAAATTTGGTTACTTATTTCTCTAAAATGAATTTATTGATCGACTACTTACAATAGTAAAAGTGGAGCCCAAAGTCTATATTGACCATCTTGTATAAACTAATTTGTAAGAGGTACATTTACATTATTTAAATTTGGGATATATTTCTTGATACCGGAACACTATCCTATACAATATTGGAACAGTGGGTGCATTTGAAATTTGACAATTCCACTTCCTGTTGAAATTATGGCTTATTTCTCCATTCGCTTAGAAATCGACAAGAAGCACTGAAGGCATTTAAAATACCCGTCCTCCGTTGGTGTACCTTTCTTTCTTATTTTTGTGCAAAATATCTGCGTTCATGCCTATTGGTAAATCTGATTTCTAAATTCTCGCCTATTATTCTTCTCCTACACTGATAAAACGAACATCTCGCATCTACTTTTTCCTTTCCTTATTTTTTACTCTTTTCCCATTTATCAACTTGTGTTGTTTTACTTCTCTCTTCCCCCCCCCCCTCTCTCCCTCAAGTAGCAACTGAACGTTTTGATCAATTTATTTCCCTTGTATTTTAATAGCAGCCTATCTCCTATATATCTGCCTGCGGTCCGTGATCGACACTTCTCATTACTCTCCTTAATGTCCATAGCATCAAGTCCCTAATCCGTAGCCTCGAGGGACTAAAGGCCCTTCCTTAGAAACCTGAAACCCTTCACTTTCTTTCCAAGGAGGGACTAAGTGTATTACTTTGGTCAATACAATTATGGGTTGCTTTTTTTGAAGAGTTTGAGATTAAAAGAAAATCGAACGCCATATTATCTCATTTAATTGTTTCTTTGTAATAGAGGAGTTGCTTTCATGGCCCTTTGATTGCTCTTCTTTAACAAAATATTTTTTTTCAGTACTTCATAATTTGAGGTCAATAACATATTCTGTGTCTGCATTGCATCACTTGACAAGATTAGATTTCTTTAATCTTGGCTCTACATATTCAAGCACATTTTACTTGGTTGGAGCTTGAAATTGCATCAGATAATGGCATTTTTAAAAATGACATAAAATTGCTTTCGTAAGGAATTTTATAAGCGCGTTTTGCGCTCTTGTTATAATGAATTTGATTTTGAAAGAAGATATGCGTCCCCAATTTAGCAGGAGGACAGAGTGTGTCTCATCTTGCGCCTTTTTAGTGTTTTCTCTATTTGGTTTGTAATTACAGGTTATACATTAGTGCTCGATATTTGTTGTTTTAAAGCTATCAGAAAATCTTGCTTTCATCCGAATGAGTTGATTTTGTCTTCTCACCTCAATTTGGCAGTACTTCCCTCTTAACTTCCTTTTACGCTAACTCCGCTATTTCAAATTGGTGTACTTCTATTCTTCTATTTTTCCACAGGCGCTTTTCACCCTCCAATAAAGTCTCCAAAACCAAGGGCTGTTTACGAGCAAGTTTGGTTCGAAGCCCATTCACCGGTGCTAGATACCTCTGCGCTGCCTTTCCCCACGAAATCCTTGTCATGGAATGGGTCAACACCCTCTCTACCTTCATTGAAACTAAACGGGTATGTTTAAATATTGGCTATACAATATGCTGCTCTGTTATTTCAAGCTGCCATCTTATTATTATCTCATGGGGATAGCAATGTAGCTCTCATAGCAATGTAACGGGAAGGTGTCGAATTGGAGGAATTAATGAAGCCGGAATATGACTGAGTCTATTGTATCTTAAAATTTGACTTGAGTTCTTCCCTTCTCATTATTGCTTAAATTCATTTTTTTGGTGGTCTAAACGGTTATAGGCCTGTTTGCCACGATTTGATTGATTGGGTTTTTGAATAAATGTGTATGCTATATTATGCTTTCTTGTTTGTTATTACATTGATTTGCAATAAAAGATGGAATGCTTTTGATTCATGCTGATATTGATGATGGTGTTGATATTCGGATTCGGATCGTTGTGTTCTACCTTCAGTTGTATTCCATTTAGAAGCCTCAAAACGGTCGATCGGAAAGGAGGATTAAAAATTTTCTTTCTTGTGTTAGTGTTACACTTCCTCCCAAGCTAAGGCATTTTCCTACTTGTAATAAGAATATTTGTATTTCTCTATTCTTGCACAAATATATCCTACTCTGGCCTCCATCTGTTTAAGTATTCACTACTAATTGCCATGAGTATCTGTCAATTCCGAGATCTTTGGGTCAGTAACAATCAGTGTAGTTGCTCAACCATGTCGTTTAATGGGAATTTTCATTAGAGTGGCTTCATGGTATCATTTCTTTGCCGCATCGATTATTCTTCTGATGGGCTTGGACAGTATTAGTCTTCAAGAAATACGTATAGGCATCAAAGGTGATCTCTTCTGTAGGTGGCTAAGAGCTATTATACTAAGTACGTTTTTTGCGCTTTGTTTTTACCAAATAGCTTTTACTTGAACTAAAACTTTCAGCAAAGACATTCTTACTGGTTTTTGTGGTTCCTCTTTACCTCTCATAACAGGTTCCCGTCTTAAATATGCCAACGTCTCTGACCACTTTCGACCTGTTGGTACAACAGGACTTGCGATTCCCTCTTGCTTGCCTTGGTGTCTATCGGCATCACTCACGTCGTGGCTTGGCCGGCGAGCGGTACCGACTCCACCTAGTTGATCTCAACTCCCCATCAGCTACAAATGAGTCATCGTGTGCTTCTGCCGCCGTTCATCACTCCTCTGCTGGTCTAGGCCCCTCACCACTTCCTCCTCAGGCCATTTCTCCACCCGTTTCATTACCTGCTGTAAATGCACCCGCTCAAGGAGAAAGAAAACAACTAGCAAAAGCCAAATCGGAGGATGTTGTTGAGTCAATGACCTGCAAGACTTCTAATGCTACTGCCACTGCCCGGGATAGTAACTCCGTCTTTTTGGGTGAGCGTTTCTGTTGTTTTTTTGAAAACGTGCGGTTTGCTATATTAAGCTAGAGTTTGAATGATCTGTCTGCCTCCTATTATTATTTACAATTGGTATCGGTAGGGGTTGAATAGTGAGATATGTATGTTAAAAAGGCGCGTATTGTATCCTAATTTAACTCTTTCTTCGCATATCGACATGGTTTCTGAATTAAGTTTGCAAGAATTCGATTAAGGGCGTCCCATTCAGCTTACCGCCTATTTTACATTTTCTTTGTTACCTATTAAGAGGGCTCCTTGAAAATGTACAATTTTCTATTTTTAGCTACAGATCGGTTTTATAAATGTCACTCTTTCATAGAGTTTCCTGTTGGCGTTCTATTCTTTAGTTGCTTATTCAATGCGAGACAGATTCAAGAAATTCTTATGCGCTGTAGTATAAGCATAATGTTTTGTACTTCTTTTGCTTAATTCACTCCAAAGTTTTACTCTAAGTTTACGCTTTCTCTCACTCTTCTAAGTAACTGTTCCCCTCCTTCATGACAAATCTCTACTGCTAAATGCAGTTTTACAATGCGAAGTTAAAACATTTATTAGCACTAAAATTAGTAGCTAATTGAAGCGTAAATAGTTCCATACTATGTTCAGAATGTTGAAGTTCTGATAGATATTTAAATCTTCACCTCTTCTGGAATCGTCATTTCGAAACCCAATTGTCAAGACAGATCAATTTGAAATTGCGAAAATTTCTCGCCCTGTTGTGGTTGTTCCTGAAGCGTACTTTGCTTCTTTGACTGCAACAGCTTGTACATTTGCAGCGTGTTCGCGCTGTAAATGTAAAAAATTTCGAGCCTTAATTAGCGCCTTGCCGTGAAGTGCACTATTTTAAAGACCTTAATGTACTTGTTTGAAGGTCGTTTGCTAATTGGCTCACCGTTTATTGCCATGTCTTAATTACTTCAACAACTTCCACATTTAAACTAGGGTAGTGTTTTACAGAATTCCGTTTGTCTATTTCATTCTGTAGCGATGACTCATATCGTTTTGTCCGGTATTTGATGCCGATTTTCAGCCCTGGTAATTCGGTTTACCATGCGATGCACTGGGCGTTTAAGTGCACAGTGCCGCGGCGGTAACCATTATTCCTTAAAATTGCTTTGATCACAGAATCGATAGTCAATTATCATTTTAGTGTAGTTTCTGTACCTTTCTATTCGCTACCTTACATATAAGGATAATTTTTTACTCACACTTGCTTTTTGCATGTGTTGCAGGTGGGCTATAATTTTCATCTCCAACATGGAGTTTTAGTTGACAGAAAAATACAATGTTTTGAATATCTCTGCCAATGTTAACATGTATTATATTTTCCATTATAGACTCTGATCGATTGCCAGTAGTAAGTGTGATTCAGCTATTGAAGAACACAGTTCTCGTCTGTTTCCCTGATTGTGCAAAGCTGGTGGGTTTCAGTGGTCGGTTACGAAAGAAGCTGCGCCAGCCCAACACTATATCTTTCGATGGTCTCAACATTCAGTCGGTCGGTAAGTTGGGGATGCTAAAAATAGTCTGAATTACGTTTACTGATGCTACGATACTTAAATCAAATTTACTTTTTTAAATCAATTTATAGTTGGCCTTCGCGATAGCCTTCTAGTCTTTCATCCACACGGCTTCCTTGGGAAAAGCTTTGCTGGAGAGGTAAATTACTTCTACTTATCTTATATAAGTAGATGTAGTGTATATTCTCTCTCCCCTACTTCTCTGACTTTTATCTTATTCAAACGCGCTTTCCGTTTTTATTTTCAGCTCACCCAGGAAATTAACGATGACAAACACATTTATCGGGTATTAGGTCATGACCGGTGAGTTTTATTTATTAACTAATCGCTTCTAGGTCATAGCATATCATCAACAAAGTCGAAAGGAACACATGTGTGTTTATGTTCGTCTTCATGGGTGCAAATCATTTTTGCTACTAACGGGAAATGTTTCGACATTTCGATAGGCAATTTTAAAGTTGAGAGACATTTTGTCCACACACACACTATTGATGTAGCTTTGTCCGTTGTAGGCTAAGTATTCTGTAAAGTGTCACGAGTTTGATCATTTTACGCGTATCATTAGCATAGTACCACCTGACCACCTACTGATCAGGTTCAAACTATTACCATACCTTCATCATTCTTACACTGAATCAAGCATTAAAGTGAGATATCTACCTACATGATTGCTACTTTTTAGACGCATTAATTGTACCAATATTAAGCCTTTTCGAGGTGAATTATTTTAAAATGATATGAGCTTGAGTTGGGTATTTTACTATCTCTCTTCAAATTAGAATCTTTTAATAGCATGTTATTTTGTTTAGCTTGTGTTATTATCGGGTGAAAGAGACGTATTGAGTAAATAAAATCCTACCATTGGATAGACGAAGCTTGGCAAAGCCCTTAATTGACTTACATGTACGCATTTTATTAGCGTGGTTCAGTTCAAAGATTTCTCCGCCTGTGGCCTTGCGTTTGATTCAGGGGTTGTGTTGGATACCCGTCAGTACACCTAAAATGACTAAAAGCGTTTTACGAATTTGGTTTGCTACCATTCTCACTAGTTCAGACCTGTCTGAAAGGTCCGATCGACGTAATAATGTTAAAATTGCATATTTTGATGTCGCTCTGAGACGATATTTGCGTCTTAATACTCCTCTTTTTAATCCAAATTAAACGACACAGGTGGTCATCTCCATCGCCGTCTGGGCATTTACGTGCATATCGATCCTGTAATATCTTTCACTTTGTTTGAATGCCAAAACTACCAGTTAACATTCACTTTCTTACTAGCAATGTTTTTTTTACTTTTAGAAACATAGTAGTTGAGAGTCGACCAGTAGGAGGTCCCTCGAATAACTCAAACATCTACCTACTTGCCGGTCATACCGACAATTCCTCGTAGCGACATTCGCTTAGATCGAACTAGATGATAATCCCTCACCTCATTCCTCAACGCTTCGCCATTGCCCGCACTCCGCTGCTTTCTTTTGTTTCGTTTGTGTCCTTTGCCAACAACGTTTAGAGACGTCTAACTTACTCAGCCGCAATACTCGACGATACCCACTGTATAATTAGATTCTTTTATAACCGCCAGCGTCATTCACTCTCCTGTTCTCTCAATGTATGTGCTCCTTCCTCTTTTTGGTTCCCCCTCTCTCCCTCAATCAGAGACTCCATTGCCTTGTCTCATTTACTAGGATCACATTAGCGAACTTGTCACTTACGTATCATGTCACATGTAGGAACCAACCTATAAACCAGCCCCATGCACTCGCCCAGTGATGACGATGATGATGATGCAGATCCCTCCCGCCCTACGTAATTTCTTTCTCTTTCTTTTCCCTCACGAATTAAAATAGGTTTTGACCTCCCCTATGTTTTTGGTCTATTCCCATTCCTACGCCTCACCTATTTTGGGTTTTATCGCTTAACAGCTGTGCACACTATTGCTTTCATTGCCTGTCTATACACCTGCTTGCGTCTCCCTCTTTACCTGTCTCTCTACTACTGTTTCGCTTCTTCTTCTTAAATTCGCGCGCTTGTCTCCTTAAGGCGTGCGTGGGAATGAGAAGAGGAGATGCAGGTGTGTTTAATTTTTGTTAAAAGTGAAATGAATTGTGAGAAAAGGAGAGTGAAGCTGTCTTTAACTTCCTCTTCCTTTAACTCGTCTTCAGCCTTATCAAGTCGAGGCTTTTTATTTTCACTTATCTAGTTTGTAGGAGGTTAGAGGGAGAGCGAGAGAGAGTTGATATTTTATCGATAGTGCGACTCGTAGATTTGAACCATTTCTTCTCCTTTGTTTGTATCGAAGAAAATTGGGAGGTGGGAAAGCGACTTGGCTGACAATTTCCCATTCTATTAGCAATTGAGTGCATTGCTACGGTTCACGTTGGAATAGTAGAATTTGCGTTGAGGATTCATATGTAATAGGAAAGTGTGTATGTAGAAGCGGCCGAAATTATTATTTCGCTAAAATTGGAATTTATGTTAAAATTAACGGAAATTCAGGCTTCTGTTTCTTTAGTTTGTTTTTAGGCGTCTATGGCACATTCTTTCTCATCTAAGATGAAAGAATGAAGGGAGTAGGCACGCGATTGATAGTGCAGGCCTATCCGCTATTGCGATTTAAATTTGGTAGAAAGTTATGCGTTTTTTCTGTTTGTAAGGATTCAAGTTTCCAATTCATGAATAGTGGGACTGGGTCTTGTCTGATTTGTTATCCAGCAAAGCTGGCCTATTATAGCTTTCACTGGCAACATCTTACTTGAATATGCAAAGACTATTGGATTGGAATGAAGGCGATGTAGCAAACTCAAATGCACAACTTTCATACTCGCTTGCCAGAAAAGTTTATATTTAATGTTTATTTAAATTTGTCCTCATAAAGCAATCCCCCCCCCTGTCTGACTGTGAAGAAGTAGGCATTTTATTGGTTGCTGTGCGGTGTGTAGTTCTTTCCGCTTCCGAAATTCGTGCCTTAATCGCCTTGCTAAAAAGTGAAAATATTTACGCGACTAACAATATGCGTTGCGACCAACACCTGCGTTTCACTGTACAATAGCAGAGCAGATCTAAAATTGCTGGAGAAATGAGGCTATACTTGAACGAGAGCTTATCAAAAACCTAGCAGGCGTATTCAGTAGGAAATAAATTTTCAAGTTGTTAGTTGAATCAAGGCCATGTGGATGCTTTTAGTTGAAGACCGTATGAGAGGGAGAACTGGTGTGTTTAGGCAAATGATAAGAAAAAGTAGGTAAGGGGCCACTGTCCTATCTACTCTTTAAATTGTCTTTTATAACTTTAGCTGAAGCGATGCCTATTCCCTTGCCTTGGTAGGATGTGGGGAGCAGGCGGTAGGCGAAAGTTGAAGGTGTAACTCAGTCCTTTTCTTTGATTTCGTGAAGGAAATTAGACGGAACTAAATTGCACGTGCAGAGAACTTGTTTGTTCCAAAGCATTGAACTGCAAGTAGATGTGCTTTCGGAAGAGGAAAGATGGAAAATCTATGAAATAAATTACTTTAGAGAGACGAGATTCAGGTCATTTTGGTGTGAAATTTGAAAATGCTGTCGGATTCATTTAAAGAAAATTGTATAGAGGTTGTTTATTCAAATATCGATGATACACAATGAAGTACACTTTAATTAAATTAATTCCATGGCTGTCAAGAAAGAGCAGATGAGTTAAATTCTTGTTAAAAAAACTAAAAGAAGTGTGAGAACTAGTTTAGCTAGTCGTTACCTTTACAATACCAGTCTATTCTTTCTTTCTTAGTAGGCGAGAATTAGGGCACAAAGCCGGCCCTTATTCCACCTGTTATCTGAGTAATTGCATGGTTTAATTGAAGAAAATTAGGAGAGAAAAGGGCAAGTTCTCATTCGACTATATATCGTATGCTGCAAAAATTATGCTTCGTGAGGTGCTGGACTATTGCACGCCATTCTGATGTTAGCATTGCAAGGCTAAAATGTCGGGGGGGGGGGGGGGACAGAGATATTGATTTTATGAAAAATGGGGAGAAACATTATTATTGACTAAGTAATTTATCACCATTCGAAACTAAGTTTGATCGGTTGATGGCTGAGATGGCCTCTACAAGAACATTTACGCTTTTCGGAAAACTCTAGCGCTCGTACGGTCCCTTTGTCCAACTTTGCTGGTGTTATTATTTCTGAAGAAACGTTTTTTTTCCACGCCAAAAAGGCGCACGTACGATAATGTAAAAGGCAGTGAATAAAATGCAAATTTTAAATTCAGAGATCATATCAGTGCTTACCCCCCCCCCCCCAGAGGTCCAAAAAGTTAATTTCGTCATTTATAGCCAGGGGGCGGCGATCACTGATCGATATTTGGGTAGACAAATTCACAACAATTTAATACTCTCCAGTCATTTTTCAACCAGGTATTTATCAATTACGACTCTTGACTACATAAAAATCCCCAATATGAAGTTGTGGGCGATTCATTTCTTGCTACCAATTCAAGTAGAGCATGTGGGGTGATTCAAACTTTGCCAACAATTGGTGGAATGGTGGGAAGGGAAGAAATCTATCCCCCTACTCTTCTGCATTATCATATAAAATACACTTATCCAGTCCTTTCTCGTGTCTAGCAAACGTGCAGCCGTAGATGCCATCTGTAAATCTATGCCATTTTGACTCCTAAAAAGTAAATGAGTAGAAAATTCGAGCACAGTAGGGAAACACTTTCTATAAGTTCAACTTGCGGCTAAATAAAATAGAAATATGAGCTGATTTGCCCTTTTAACTATTCCGGTGTTAACAGAACGCCAAGATATTTAAAATTTTGTTATAAATTCACCGAATCACCAGAAGCTAAAATTGCCCCTTCCACTCATTGTTTATTCTATAAAAAGTGGCAACATCACTAAGTGGGAAGAGTGTGTGAGAGAGAGAGTGGGGGGGGGGACATATATGTCTGGTATGCCAATTGTAATAGGAACTGACTTTATGTAGAATAGGTAGGCACCGAGTCGATAAGTGAACGAAAAGTGAATTCGACTTGTCGTGATGATCAAGAAGGGAATGAAATAAAGAGAGTTCTTGGGGTTCGTGGACATCTTATCAGCAATGTACAAAAACTTGAAAGTTTTACTTTTACTATTCATTCAGAGTACAGACGGTAAGTAAGTGAAATGCGTATTCAATTAAAACTTGCATACAGCTATTAAATGGACAACAATGCTTTTTTGTAGTTTCGATAAGCCGACTTTAGGGTTTCGTAAATTGCGCTCTACATACGTTCCCCATTACAAAGAATTTTATTTAATGCTTCAGTTTTCCGCGCCACCTTTCCTAAATACGATGTTTGTATCTACACAGAATTTTTTTGTTTTTTGCCTTGAATATGACTCTACATTGTAGTTTGGATTAAAATAAAACAATCAAGGAAGAAACAATTACTTTCTTACATCCTGCGTATTTGCACATGTGTATAAGCTACGTCCATTTTCCTACCTATTGGCAACGCACGTAATCATATTTCTTAAATCCTATTTGGTGCTGAAGGTACAAGGCTGATTTTCTGGGTAAACCCCATTATCGATCTCTCGACTTAGGTGTTGTGGGAATAGACGTAAATAGGAATTATTGACTATCTTTTCGCAACTTCTTTTTACTAGAACCATATGTACTCGTCAGGAATCCAGTTGAATATTCCTCATGTTAAGATTCGACTCTGGGCAGGCGAATAGCTGAATGAATTAGGAATTCCAAATAAAATGTATTGTGCCTTCAGTGGCGCTCTCAAGGGTGTCTTAATGCTAAACAAAGCACTTATATGAAAGAGAGAAATTTTCTTGATGTTAGAGAAATGTCAACTATGCCACTTCACACTCAGCAATTATATTTACTCACATTCTACGCATTAAGTGAGCAAATACACAAAACGCAAGTTTAATGCTCAGTACTCGAAATGGAAATTGACTAACAAATTGTAGTTTTGGAGATCAGAATTAAAGTATCCTAGACCAAAAGGGAAAGTGTCAGGAAAGCTGTAGTTCTAAGCGTCATAGTATACTGGAGACACCGACGAGAAACTTGATTCCCCCCCCCCCCAACTTCTATTATTGTTCAAAAGTAAACCGAGAAGTTGGCCATCCCCGTTACCTGATATGTATTTTGATATAAGATTTGGCTGCTGAGCTACTAAATTATCGCTGCAATCACTTTCTCATAAGATCAAATTATTAGACATGTACGCTAATACCAGCTATTCATCAGGTAATTAACGCTCTATGTCAATTAATGATGATGATGATTAGTTACTTATCACTATTCCAAACCAGAAATAATGTGACTAAGATGGAAGAGACGTGCTGAGTTGTGAATCATAGGTCATGGTGAACACTTTCAACATTTTGTGTGAAGCATTGAAAATTCAGTAAGTTGCAATTAGTAATAGTCTGCATTTACTACTTTTAAATGAAAATATGACATAAATCTAACTTTTTTATTCACAAGAGGCCTCTTTTACCATGGCCATTTGGCAATAATTTCGTGGTATAATCAAACGAACGATTTTTGAGCCAATTTTATTCACAAGTGAATTCAGTTAAAATCGAGCTGAGAAATATCAAGCGCCAATAACAATTTTAACATGAACATGAAAAGCCATGACTGATAGTATTGTCTCCGCCTTATTAACTAAAACGTTCAGTAGCAGCCAGCATGGAATAGAGATTCAATCAAATAAAAATTTTACCAACATGGGCTAAGCTTCGACATAACAACGGCTGATAAATTATCACTAATAAGCCAGAGTTGATATGCTTAGTCAAATGGGGTACCTGCCATTTTTGAGTCGGAAATACACACGATTACCACTTGTTTAAGCAGTTTACATGTCCAAAGGCTATAAGCTTTTCATGTGCATAAATGATCGTTTGTAAACACGAAGTCACTATCAAGCCACCAAAGAGATAGTTAAATTTTGAGTACGTGCAATTACTGAGTAAAAGCCATAAACTACCGACGCAGCTCCCTGTGAAATACCTTCGAGAAAGTCAGTCTACTTAGAAGATGAAACATTTAGCGCATCTATAAAGGCAACTATTGTCAAGTTCAAAATGATACCCAGTCTAACTGACGTTTCAAGAAATTGCAGGCTTAGTCTCCCCGCCAACCAAGACCGTTTAGAAGAAAACAGATGTAAAAAACTAGTCTCACTTCAGTAAAACCACGAAATTTCAGGAGAGTACGTTATTTTTACACTTAAAGAGAGCATTTTAAGTAGAAAGCAATAAGCTAATTGAATTAAAGTAATGTATGAAAACTATAATCCTCATTTTTAGAATACCTTTTAAGAAAAGTATACAATGTAAACTAAGCTCGATGTTCACAGTTAGGGGTGTGCGATAGACTTACCTCCACGTGGTGCACCCTGGGCAACGTATACTCATACGGCAAAAAAGTCAATTAACGGGCAGTTGGCTTCTCACTTCAAGCTACCATCACCCCACTGTATGCCATATTCGACCCCTTCACAGTACTCTCTTACCTTTTCTCTGCCTTTTTGTCTGTCTGTCTCTATTACATCTGTGAATCATTATTCTGTCACCCCTCTCGACTCTTAGTCACTTTGATGTTCCTTCTTCTCTGTAAAGCCCGAAGTCAATTTTTGTCACTTTGATGTTCTTCCTCCTCTTTGTGAAGCCCGAAGTCAGGTAAATTGATAACTATCAAAATGCCTGCCATTTGATATAAATAAATGTTCAGAGTTAGTAGCTATTTTTAGATTAACTTTTTGTACGATAATTAAATAACATACGAGGTCAAATAGCCCCCTTGAAAGGTACTTTAACTAACTCAACTTCGTATTAAGTCGGGGTTGGTTCGTTTCAAAATGAAGAGAAGTCAAAAACATCACTAGATTTTGAACGAAGTAATAAACACTCAATTTGTCAAACTTGACATGCGCAAATAAGTCAACTGCTCACTTCCATACTGAGTCAGAACTATTAGGTTGGCAACTAAGTCATTGCCGATTTCAAATAAGAAGGCAAATTCGGAATTTTTGTTTAAAAATATAACTTTATTCAATTAGATATTGGCCGTTCTTATTGATGACCTTTTTCCATCGTTCTGGCAGAGTAAAAATTCCCCGTTCGTAAAATGTCTGGTCTTTGCTATTAAAAAACTGAATTAGGTGTGATCCGACATCATCCGCGTTGTTACAAATTTGACCATTTAAAGAGTTTTGCATGGAACGAAACAAATGGTAATCCGAAGGCGCAAGGTCAGCGCTATATGGCGGGTGTGACAAAACAAAACAAAACATCCCAACCCAGTTCCAATAATTTTTGCCGAGTAACCAAAGATGTGTGCGGGGGCCTTGCGTTATCATGATGGAAAACAACACCCTTCCGATTTGATAATACCGGCCGCTTATCTTCAATTGCATCCTTCAGTTTTTCGAGTTCTTCAACATACACATTTGAATTTATCGTTTGGTTCTGCGGCATGAGTTCAAAATACAAAATTCCTTTGTGATCCCACCAGACTGACAGCATAATCTTTTTTTTGGTGAATCTCTGCTTTTCATACTGTTTGGGCTAGTTGATCTTGCTTCACCCATGATCTCTTCCGAGTAACATTGTTATAAACTATCCACTTTTCGTCGCCAGTAGCTAGGTTCTTCAGAAATGGATCATTCTCATTGGGTTTCAGTAGCGAATCACAGATGCTAATCCGTTGCGTCAAACGAATTCCCTTTAACTGGTGAGGGATCCATAAATCAAGTTTGTTGACATAACCAAGGGTTTTTAATTTTTTTCAATGCATGTATGCGACACATTGAGCTTCTCTGCAATATCTCGTGTTGTGCTGTGGCGATTTGAATCGATAATGGCCTTGATATGGGTTTCATCCACTTCGACTGAGCGGCCAGATCGTTGCGAATTTTTCAGTAAAAAATCACCGGAACGAAATCTTTCAAACCAATTTCGACACTGCCTTTCTTTTAAGGCTTCATCTCCATATACGGCACATAACTTCTTTTGTGCTTGCGATGCGTTCTTGCCTTTTCGGAAGTAATACAATAAAATGTGTCGGAAGTGCACGTCCTGTTCTTTCATTTTTAAATTGGGATAAAAACAAAACTAAAGAACTAAACAAAAAAATTTTTTACTAATTAACCTAGAAGCCCATACAGTAAGAACAAAATATAGGTTAGATGCTCTGGCCACGTTAACAAAACAAAAGAAAGTATAGAGTGAATCTGTCAACAAAAACAGCAATGACTTAGTTGCCAACCCAATACAAGTGACATGTCCAATTCTCATAAACCTACTGTGCAGGAATGATCGCATTTAAACACCAAAATCATGAACACTTATGAATCTATTGAAACGAACCGAAATATAATTGCACCTATAGAAAAGTCGATAAATATAAATTGACTATCTATTGGTTGCGATTCTGCGTAAAGAAAAAGAGAAATGTTTCAATTCAATGAATTAAAGATGCTACCAAGCGAAAACGACACCCAATATAACTTCCTATTAGATCAACTTCTGATTTGGTTCCAGTTATTGCAGATTAATTGTAAAGACAACTTCCATCGTTATAAAGGCACTCTTGAAACGATAGTTGAACAATGGGGAGTGCGTGATAGACGTACTTCAACATGATGCGCCCTGAGCAAACGTATACTCACACGGCAAAAGTTTATAAACCGGCAACTAACTTCTAACTTCAAACTACAGTGACCCCATTTTATGTCATGGTCAAACACTTTCACAGTACTCACTTTACTTACCTTTTCTCTACCTTTGTGCGCCTCTCTTTTACATCTGTGAATCATTCTTCTGTTACTAACCTCGAGTTTTTACGACTTTGATGTTCCTCGCCTCTGCTGAGCCCGAAGTCAACTAAAGGGCTGATGATAACTATCATAAAGCCTGCCATTTGATACAAATAGATAAATATTTTAACAGTGGCAATAATATCAAATACTTTCTACTTTAAAAGAAGTTGACTCTGAAAGCCTCAAGAAATTAAACTAGCCGTACAACCAATCTTCAACATTTTGTAGGCAAATGTGATTTTTCCTCTTTGAAAAACAAAATGGAACGAAAAATGCTTATAAAGTTTTGGCTTGCAAAAACATCATAAACCAAGGCTGAAAACTGCAAACACATTACTATTACAATACTAAAATTAAGACAACACATCCCTAAAGTTGTCTTGATCAGGTAGAAGCTAATTATCAAGGGGATTTGATCAATTGTCCACATCATGAGGTCACATGCAATTAGCGAATGAACAATAACTTGTTAAAGCAAACAAGAATAGATCTAAAAATGGAATAACAGACATTATGTGCTATTCAAAACCATTATAGAAACCACATTGGTATAAAAAATGTAACACATTATATTATAGTCGCACAGGCATTCGACAATGCGTTAATACAGAAAAAGAAGGGAGGAGAAGTCCATATAGCCAGTGGTGGTTTCTTACAAAAAGATTGAGTAAATGAGACGTAGTTCGAGATGTATCAACAAGAGAACAAGGCAACCAAACAGGGAAAAAGACAGACTAGGGTCGAAGAGAGTGAGATAAAATATATATTTGATACGCATCATCAGAAATTATTCACAATTGTGAAAAGCATGCTCAAGGTCCTGTTACTTCAGTCCCCAAGGTCATCCAGAAACGACTGGATAGCATCATCCAACATAGCATTCACTGGTTTGGGATTAGCGCTAGAAGGAACTCCTGCACTGGGATTTTCGCACTGCTGTAGTTGTGAAACACCACCACCACCAGCAGCAGCAGCGGATGAGGATCCAAGGACATTTTGAGCCAAACCCTCATTCACTTGAAGTGGGAGCTTAGGAGGATCAAGAATATTATCTGATGGACCGCTCACAGGCTGGGCTGAAGAAGTGCCGGGCTTTTCTGTGTGCCTCTTCAACAGGGTCCAATCAAAAAGGAAGTCAAATTTGTGTCCGAGAGTGCGGAATAGAATGCGGAATAATTGGCGTAGGTAGAGATAATCCGGAGTCTCTTCAAAGCGAAGATTTCGACAGTAATTCAAGTACATTGCAAATTCAGCCGGAAAGCCCTTGCACAAAGCCTCCACCGGAGTCGAAATCTTCTTTTCACTAATCCTTTCATATTTTTGACGTTTAGTATTACCCTAAAAGCAAAGGAGAAATCAAATTAAGAACAAAAATATAAATGCGGTCCAGTGGAATTCAACCAAGAGGTAACAATATTGGGAAGATTAAATCGCTTCATTTGCTATATCACATGGTATAAGGCTGATAATGAAAGCTTACTACATCAAGGTGGAAAAGTAGCACTGAGTATCTAACACGCGAAAAATGAAAGCGCATCCAAAAGTAACTCCGGAATAATAAAAAGAATTATGTGAGGTTAAAAGAAACCGGATGAATAAATTATCATTTGCAGAGACAGAATGTTACCGAAAAATTACATTAAATTTTAAATACATGCAAAAAACCTCTTTGCATGCAGAAAGCGATAGAACAATAAAAGCAGTAAACAAGGTATTTCTTCACAAATTACTCACTTTTAATCCTTGCCAGGGTAGACTTCCACGATTGAAATACATGAGGACATATCCAAGCGACTCCAAGTCATCTCTACGAGACTGTTCAATTCCAAGGTGAGCGTTAATACTGGCGTATCTGGCAGTTCCTGTCAGATTCTTGTCATCTCTGTACTCAATGTGACGTCCCCTGTAGGTGCAATAGCGTTTAGCCAGCCCATAATCAATGATGTAAAGTTTGTTGCAATGTCGTCCAATTCCCATTAGGAAATTGTCAGGTTTAATATCCCTATGCACGAAGCATCTTTTGTGAAAGAACTCTACTCGTGCAAGCATCTGATCAGCCAGCATGAGAACTGTTTTTGTTGTGAAACGCCGAGCGCAGAAAAGAAATAAATCCTCAAGACTTGGGCCAAGTAAGTCCATCACGAGAAAATAGTGATCATATTGACTTCCACACCACCTTATAAAACGACATAATTTAAAATTAAGACATTACCTTAAACGAGGAATGCCAATTCCACCATTTAAGATTCTGTATACCTTACTTTCATATGCTAACTGTCTATGACGAGCGGAATTCCTCTCCACCTTAACCGCAACTTCCTATATTATCGGGTAAAAAGTTATGAACAGAAAATACCTCTCCGTTTTTCTGATTTACACCCAGATATATAACACCAAAAGAGCCACAGCCAATTTTTCTGATCAACCGATAAATCTCATTTATTATTAACTCGTCTTTTTCGTATTTCCAGTAAAACATCCTGGATCAAAAGACCCGCAGACTAAAAATGAAATACGAACTAAAACAGGTCATCAAAGCAATTTAAATGTATGTTAGCAAAATATATATCGTATATAAATGTTTCCCAATAAAATGTTATGGATATTTAAATTTACTGGGTTGTTTTGAAGAAAAATGCACATTATTAATGTTAAAATTTCATACTTCGTGAAAATGAACCAAAGACAAATTGAATATTTACCAAATTATAACATTTTTGACTACAGAAAGCCAAAGATTATACTTTTTAAGATTTTTAACACCAATTAATGATCTTTGTTAGTTAATTTCTCATTTCATGTTCAATACTAATTTTAACCTTTCTTGTATTAATTTTGCACTTAATCTATATAATAACAATTAATTAAATCTGAAAAACCTCGCCATTACTCTAAATGGATAAACTTTTCGAAAGTCACTATTAACTCGTCCAGAAATTGTTTTAGTAAATACGAATTTTCACATTCCTGCTTCTTTCAATGCAGCTCTGCATTTTTTCGCTCTGAATCTCTAGTTTAACTTTACGGTTTTATGAGTATGAAATGTCTGCCACATAAATATTTCAGCGGTGAATTTTTCCCATGGACAAGTGACATTAAGCAATTTCTAACTCATATTAGCAGAGGTGAAACTTTAAATTTAGTCCAATGGATTTGACATGATGATTGTCCACAAACTGTTTTGCTACATTTTTACACTACATCAGTGGCGCAGATTCAATGAAGTATTAAAGATTACATAGTACAAATCATTACAGCGAGATTGATTATGAGGCTCAAAGGTACTGGAGATTATGGGAAGACATAACTTTTAATTATTCCACTAAATTAGTGTAAATATTTTCACGCAGTCCATACCAAATAATAGAGATGACAGTATGATTCAATTAATTGGCATAATGGGTTGCGATATAGGGAATTTACCCTAGTAGATGAGGCAGTAATGGGAACGATAGGCTTTAATTCCTCCCTATCAATGAATTTCCCCCCCCCCCTCCAAAAAATTCAATCAGAATAGCAGATTGTAATATTTGCTTGTGCTATCAATGCATCATCAAGGAAACATGTTATTTTCACTGACGATCATCTTTAAATGTTTCTTCATTACCAAATAAAGGATACCAAAATAACGATTTATTAATTTTGTCAAAAGGTTGGCAAATTCTTTATTCTCATTTACTTTTAAAAAAATCTATGAACTTCTACTGTGTATTATAAGGAAAGTAATTTCTCTGATCGGTTAATTATTGGTTTAACAACATTGTGTTCCCAAACATGAAAGATGTTCCTTCAGACTCAAAAACTGAAAAATTCATATTCTTGCGTCCTATTTCATTTGAAACATTTCAGAGTTATGGTTTTGATTTAAAAATATTGCCTTAAAAATGCTGCTCAATTTTGGCTAATTAAGATCAAAAATTGAAAGTAATTTACAACTGTTTCATAAAAATAAATGTAATTTTCTTTAAATGTTAAAGAAAACAAGTATTTTTAATTGTAGAGGATTTTATACTTGCATCAAGATATAAAGATTCTCCCTTTCACGCCAAGTTTAACAAGCAGTTGATTTTAAAATTTATCCAAAGGATTCAAGTGATAAAGCGAAATTAATGTTGTTTTAATTGTTCTTACTGTGTTGCCCTTTTCTGCACTTTGCTTTATCTACCGAATTACCTATCATACTATTTACACAACGGAGGAAATTTTTCACTCACCACACGCAAGATGTATCAATGGTTACAGCAAAATTATTTTAAAAATGATTACTCTTTTCCTCACAGAATTGCTTGCTGTCGGCTGTTGCGCGTAGTGAAGAGAAAAATTCTGGCTGTGTTAATTGATTGATGCATTTGCACACACTTTGACAGAAAATTCAAAAAGAATTCTCTCAGATATATTACATTCTGAGTGATTTATAGTGGACTTGAAAATGTAGAAGATATATGATTGTAAGGTGATAGTGGTTTGTGCCAGTTATAAACCTTAAAACCAAGTCAACATTTATGTAATTTGAATGTTAGATAGGTTCTAAAGAGTATTTCATGTCGCTTAGAACAACCCTCAATTTAACTGATATGCCTTATTTTCCCCTTTTTACATATGTCGTATTTGCAATGATGATAATCTGAAAGCGATTATAGCGTGCTTTCGAAACTGCTATGTAGAACATACGTCTTGGATGCATCACACACTTGGCAGGATCTTGCTGCTATTACCTCCAGACGTATTTGTCTGCAATTTCGCTCAATTCGGATATATAAAATTTGTGTGCCCTTTTATCGGGAACTATATACAGCAATTAGTACTTCTGCTCCTCTTGCTATTTCCTACAGTAATGCAAAATGCCTCACAATTTGCAATCACGGAATGGTTTCTGATCGCAAAATAAAATTAGTAAGAGATAAAATGAATTAACAAGTATGAATGTAAATAGTTTAGGCAGGATTCCAAGAATAGAGCCTTATTTTAATTGTGACACATTTACACAAGAATTGGGGGGATTTTTCGATAATTTACAACATGGTTTTGAGCACATCGGTTGAAATAACCGTTTTAATATGCAAAATACTAATTATATATATATATATATATATATATTCTGTTAATACAGATATTGCACCTTCTATCAGCAGTTTCCATATTTTTACGAAAAAAGTTATTCCATCTCCTACAGTGCCAATGATATTTAATGCTCCAACTATTGCTTGTGGGGTAAATGATAACATAAAGTCTCACAATTTTGTTAGAATATGTGCAAACATGTCGAATCTCGAATTTAATTCGGCTGTCATTCATTCCAATACATTACCCTTCTAAAAGGTTATTTTAAAATTAACAATAACCTAATATCTAAAAATGTTTATTTCAAATGGCAGGCGTTTTGATAGTTATCATTAGCCCTTTAGCTGACTTCGGGCTTCACAGATGGAAGGAACGTCAAAGTAACAGAAAGTCGATGGATGGGGAACAGAAGAGTGGTTTACAGTTGTAAAAGAGAGACACAGAGCCAGAGAAAAGGTAAAATAATTACTGTGGAAGTGGTAGAATATGGCATACAGTGGGGTGATGGCAGCTTGAAGTGAGAAGTCAACTGCCAGTTAATAGACTTTTTTGCCGTATGAGTATACGTTGCCCAGGATCTGGGCAACATATCTAAAAATATAGCACCACCTTTGGGTAGGAGCAAAAATAGATAAAGGTTTAGAAATTTTTCACAACCAAAAAATTGGCTCCTAATTATCTTTAATATGTTACCAATTTAAAATAGAATACCATTTTGTCCTCATTGTGGAAAATGAACTTCCTTATATTTGATTCGGGACACTTTTGTGCCACATAACAGAGTTATAAGTGAATTTTCAGCTTATTTCATCACCTCTATAAGTATAAATTTTTG